GCCGCTTGTAGAATAGCATTGAAAATCGCCGCCCGTTCACGCCAAGTAGTCAGCACGTCAACAGCATCTTGTTCCTCTTTGATGTTCTCTTGCTTGTTCACGCTGTTAAGTTTCATACCACCGGCTTTGCCGGAACGGGCAGGACCAATTCGCATGCTTTGACTAAGAATTGTGTCACGTTTCCACCGGAGACTTCGTCCTGCAATTACGCGGGCGGCCGATTGAAGTACATTGTGAATATTTAAGGCTGTTGTTGAAACGGTGCTTGAAGATGAGGATGACGGTGGGGCCGAAGATCGCAGTTGGGATTTTGCGAGTGTAGCATCCTTCTGAAGATTGTCAAACACATCCAAGAATAACTCGAGAAGGATTGATGGTGGTGGGATATTTGTTGGACGGACAGTTGCTGCGGGGGCTGTGGTCCCAGAAACAGAGCTAGTAGGAGCTGGGCTAGGGGTGGTGGGTTTGGATTTAGGCACAGGCTTGACACTAGGTCCATCTGAAAAATCACCCCAGTCGTCAAAGGTGTCGTCGTCCCAGATTGGTGCAGGCGGCTTAGTGGATTTGACAGGCGGTTTTGTAGGCGGTTTTGCAGGTGGTCTTGTTTTTTTCTCGGCGACCTTGGGGGGAGGTTGACTAGCAGGAACATTGTCGAAATCACCCCAGTCACCAAACGAATCATCCTCCCATGTCGCCTGATTTTGGCTATTATTAGGTTCGAGGTGATGGTTCTTTTTGGTAATATTCGAGGGAAGTTTCACAGCCGGTGCAAAGTCTTGCAATGAGAGTGAATCGAGCAAGTCAATTGTTTTAGAAGCTTGCGGACCATCTTGCCGAGGCTCTGAGCTTGGAGATATAGCTGTTGATGAATGTCCAAAAGTGGATTGTGCATTTAGCGTGTTTGAATCAGGGACCTCGAATTCGCCCCAGTCATCGTCTGCATCACTTGCTGGTGTGTCAAATGCTGCATCGAATAATACATCACTATGTGGATTCAAGAGAATGTCAAATTCCTGACGACCAGGTCCCTGCCACGAAGCTGCTGGAGTTGCAAGTTGACTGGCTGCTCCCGGAGTCGGATTGGGACGTTTGTTGTGCTGCACACTTCCCGATGACCCGAAGAAATCGATGTTCTCGTCGTCGAAGGATGAGTTTTTCTGGTATTGCGATGGCTGCTGTTCGGGCCTATTGTCCGGAGCAGGCGTCTGACCAAACTCTGCTAGCAGATCAGCGGACATCTTGAATGTACACTTGTATCATGAAGCTGTGAGAGGTGACATAAAAGTGCAGCGATGCAGCGATGCAGCGGTGCAGCGGGTTTCTGCAGGGAGGGCGACACAAGATCGAATATGCCAATGTCAGCCGCACTCTATATCATTTAGATATGCAAACTTCCCAATCCGAACTCAACCGGAGTATAGCGGTGGAACATCGCAAGGGCCGAGTAAGGGCAGTAGCGCGAGATAAGGCACGGGCGGTCTACTATCGCCCGCATCCCCCTCACCTTCTATTGTTCTCTCCCTCATCCTCAGCAATGAGAACCATTGAGGAGACCAGGTATTTCCCTCACGCTGTCTGTCCATTTTTACTTTTACTGACCCTCACAGCAAGAGATGGGACATTTTGTTCTCCGACAACAACACGACTTCCGACCTCCGAGCGGTGTTGCAATCCGAGCAAGGAGGAAACCTGTGCAATGACGGACTGAGATCAGTTTGCTGGAAGGTTCTGGAGATTTGACAACCTGAGGTGGAGATATATGCTCATTCTTCGTGCAGGCATTTCTACTCTTCGACGGGTTGGATAAGACTGAATGGGCGCCTAAGCTGGACGAATCTCGGGGTGCCTATCGTGCACTGCGAGATCATTTCTTGAAATACATCGAACATCCAGACGATTTAGAGTCGACTGTTGATCCGCTGGCGGATGATGAGCAGGTATATAAATTACCCTCTCGCTGTGCTCCGCCTAACTCGAAGAACTCTCCGATCTAATCATTTTTTGTTGGAACAATCAGTCCCCTTGGCAAACACTCCGACACGATGAGACGCTGCGTACCGAGATCCTACAAGATGTCGACCGATGCTTGCAGGAAAACTTCTTTTTCCAAGAGCCCGACACGAAAGCCAAGTTGACTGATATCCTGTTCGTCTACTCGAAGCTCAATCCAGATGTCGGTTATAGGCAAGGAATGCACGAATTACTCGCCCCTATTCTCTGGGCAGTAGATCGAGACTCGGTGAAGCCACACCCCGAAGGATTTGATGCGAACAAGGTCACAAGTGAGGGTTTGATGCTGGAGATGCTTGATGCACAATTCGTGGAGCATGATTCATTTACGTTGTTTCTATCTGTCATGCAAACGGCCCGTATATACTACGAGCACGGCGAGACACGGTCAGCCAATGGCCAGATGGATGTCATTCCGATTGTTGATCGGTGTCATTATCTCCATAAGGAAGCTTTGGCGATTATCGATCATGAGCTCGCCGAGCACCTCGAAGCTGTGGACATATTACCGCAAATTTTCCTAACGTAAGCTGCTTTCAGATACCATCTACTTTCTTCTGTACTAACTACTGAGAAGCCGCTGGATGCGCCTTCTGTTTGGGCGAGAATTTCCATTTGATGATGTCCTGACGATGTGGGATTTACTGTTTGCTCATGGACTACGGTCCGATCTTGTTGATTTCACGTGCATTGCAATGCTGCTTAGAATTCGTTGGCAATGTTGGTCGACCACAATTCCTCATCGTATCTTGTTCCGCTGACGTGTATCATTTAGTGCTTACGGCCGACTATACAACTGCCTTGACATTATTGCTTCGCTACCCTTCGCCCCAACCACATACAGCTCAGACTTTTGTGCAGGATGCACTATATTTGGAACAGAACCCTACTGCCGATCGAGGCAGTTTCATCATATCGAAATATTCAGGTAGACCGCCCGATTACAAATTTCCCAACCAGCCTAGTACACGGCCCACGAGGAAGGCCTTCCTTTGGGAAGACTTTAAGAAACGCAGTGAAAGCAGCCCACCTGCTGGATCACCAGCCCGAAACAGCCCCAAAAGTCTCGAATCTCTTTTCCAAGACGTCTCCCAGGGAATCCAACGTCGGACAGAGACCTGGGGCGTAGCCAAAGCTGTCCGAGGCGCCGTGACAGAAGCCAGGAAAAATATGCATACAATGCATTTTGAAGCCAATATGCGCCCTAGTTCGAGGCCTGTTTCCGCGACATCAGCCTCGGATATGGCGGCTACGGCGGCCTTGGGCAGACTGGAAACGAAGATCAATCTATTTGAGAAAAGAAACCAGGCGTTGGCAACGATTCTGCGCGAGGCGCTGGATGACCTTGGATCGCAGCTGGCAAATATCAAGGACCTGGATTCTGATACGACCAACGCAGTGAAGCAGGCTCTGGTCAAAGTTGAGAGTGTCCAGATCTGCCTTGGAGACTCTTCGATACCAGTAGATCCCCCTCTTGACCCCCGTGTAGACGGTGAATTGAACCAACCAACCGAGTTACAAGAGACAGTCACATCCACAACGGGCAAAGCCGAAGGCAAAATTGTGGCCAACGAGGGTCAATCCCCAACAATAAATCCTGTCAAAGCGGATATGACCGGGCCGAAGGCCGAGAGTGGAACCAATTCTATCCTAGACACAGCAAGTCGGACGAACAGGAAGAAGGAGAGTGCGCGGACAATACCCTCGCGATCAACTGTGCGAACTTCTATGACCGATTCGGGATTCTCGTGGATGCTGGGCGGTGGTCGGAACCTGTCCGGGTTTGTTAGCTCGACATCGCCGCCGCCTGAGCAGACGCGACTAGACCAAACTCGAGGGAAGCCCAAACCCAATGCCTTGTTCGGAATGAGCGGAGATGACAATCTGGGGTCCGACTCCGAGCATAGTGAGTTGGCGCTGTACAGCCTTCGGGGCTCTCGGGACCCTCTGTCAGGGACTGGCCCACCATGATATCTCCGGATTAGGTCAAAGTCACTGCTTGCGTATGCACTGGAAGTACCCGTCGACATATGGGCCAAGGCTAGTCCCACTTCTTATCTCCTGCCAGGCTGCATTATCACTCAATTCCCGCACAGAAAATAGGTTACAGACCACGCCATTAACCGAGACATTTATTTGGCAGAATCTAGTTTTTTTCAATCCCATCTCTGCCTCGATCTACGATGTGAAACAGTCTTTCAACTTCATAGAAAGTTAGTAACCAAAGGGGCCAAAGTCCCACATTAAAACGCTCGGATCTATTAAGAAAGCCACTTTGCATCATCTCGAGTCTTTTCGATGGGAAATAACTTAGCCATGGCATATCTCATTGGCGGAGCGAGGGAAGTGGACTCACGTATTAGAGTGGTAGCTTTGTACTTGGTTCTATTTAAGATATATCAGCCATGATTTCTATCTTTTATAGATCTCAAGGGCTGATTCTCAAATTCCTCCGCCACATGGGATAGAAATGTCGATCAGCCGATCTGGATAAGACAAACCATCTGTACAAGGTAAAATGTTCATTTTGTCTTCTATATAATTTTATTTCGAAGGAGAAATGGCTGTAGCAACATAGAAACATAGAAAACATAGGAAAAATGAGTTATTACATCACGGAGGGGGCCCATTTCCCTTTTTCTCGCATCTGGCATTTTCCTCTCCCCACCCTCTCTTCCCCGCTGCTCTTTTTCTTTTTCTTCCCCCTTGAAAGATTCTCCTCGACCTCCTCTGCTTGTTCTTACCTTTCTGCGTGCCCAGCCGCGACGCCACATATGCCGCCTGAGACCCTACGAGGCAGCTGCCCGCCCAATCCCCGTCACAGTTGCGAATGACCGGATACATGTCGCATACCCTCGATACATTCTCGATTGCTCGCCTCCATTGAGCCTATTTCTCTTTGTCTCCCATCTGATCATCTGAATTTAAAGCCGAGCATAACCAAAAACTACAAAAAGAGAGACAGAAGAGAGAGAAGAGAGACCTCGGGGATGGGGTCGGCTTACAACCCTGATGGTCAGTGACGCGCACATGCTTTTTCTTCATGTTGATCGTTTAGTCTTTGTTTCTCATTTCATGGGCCTTGGGGAACTAGTGGAGGTGAGGGCGAGAAGAACGGGTTACCGTGGTACTCGGATTGGGCTTACGACTCATCGAGCACCGGAAAGGAAGGGGCGCGAATCGCTTTTTCCCCAGCCGATCACGGTCACCCGCTGGCACATGCTCAGATATGCACCTGACCGTGGAGATGAACCGTCTGATCATTCCAAACCGTCACGTTTCCTGCAAGGCCCATGGAATGGAAACTCCGAGACGCGCCGATTGACTTGATCATAAGCTAGTGAATCACGCTGATCAAGACTTAGGCGAGCCGAGTCCTCTTTCGTCGCCGTTAGGACCTCTCTCTGAGTCGCCCGAATCCGAGTCCGGATACAACCTTTCTTTACAGACAGACCAACTCAGGAGCTCGGTGGGCAGTGTTTCTTCGGGATACGAACCTCTCTCCAGGTCAGCCGATTATATTCTTTCGACTCCTTAACATAACGTTGACACCTTCTGTACTTCAACAGATCCCCGTTATTCGACAGCGACCATGGAATTGGTCCATCTGGACTGGATCGTATACGCCAAAATCAACCCTCGAGAGTACTGACCCTTCCAAACATGTCTTCCTCGTCGCTATCACTAGCACCTATGACTGGCCAGCGCCCCTCTCCCTCTCCCCGTTCTCGCTCATCTTCTCGAGCTCACACCAATCTTTTGTCGAGCCGAAGTTTCACGGATCTAGCGGACCTACACCGGTTTCCACTGGAGTCGCTACACTCCTTTTCCTTTGCCCAGCAGTCCGAGGAGTTTCTCCACAGCCGTCAGAACATTCTCAAAAGGTCTGTTGATTTCATGCGCGACCGGATGGGATGGGCCGCAACCAATGCCGCGATCGCCAGCGCACAAGCAAACGCCAGTGGGGACACGGAGATGCAAGGTATGATGGACCTTTTGGCCCGAGCGAATATTCTCGAAACCCAGGACAACCAACTCCATGGCCGTGGACCCATCACAGGACCCGCAGAGATTAATGGCGACAATATCTTCGAGAAGGCCTTCGCAGACGGCAATTCCTCCCCGGTCAGCACCCGAGACGGCGCCCAGGATTCCATTCCTTTGGGATCACATCCCTCTGACAGCTCCCAATTGTTGAGCCCGGTGCCCAGCGATCGTATCTCCAACCAAAGGAGGGAGCTGGTCTCTGCACCTACATCCAGGCGCGTAAGCTTAAAACGTACATACACGGACCTATGCTCAGTCTCTATCAGGAGCAAGCTGATGGAAACTCTAGCACAACCATACACCTCTTCCGCGGATCCTTTCGCCTCGCTCAATCCCTCGTCTGCTGGATTAGGATTTCAGATCCCCGCCCTCCACGCCCATAGCAGCAAATGGACCCCGGCTTCCCAGGCCGTGTTCAGGACCGAAGCCAAGGAACCATGGACCATTCTGGCCGCTAATGATTTGTCGTGTCTCATCTTTGGTGTTCTTCAGTCCGAAGTTCGCCATCTCAGCATCCTGGAGGTTGTACAGAAGGAGCACCAGGAATGGCTCAAGGCTAAACTTCGAGATCCTAGCACTGACGTCGCTGCCCGCATGCCACTACAGCCCGAAAGAGCTAACATCTCCGCCGTCAATCCCAAGTACCGTGGTCTTGGGAACGGAGTGACAGCACAACTCCTCAGCAAACCATCTTCACGAGAACAGTCCCGGAGAGCGCAGACTGATGACGGATATGGCTCCAGCACAAGAAACGCCCGAAACAACAACCACCCGGCCAATAAGTCACGCGGTGTCTTGCTGTGCGGTGATGTGGTACCGATTCAGAAGCGCAATGGGTCACGGGGATCCGCTAGCGTCTGGGTTATGGAAAAGCGTGGTGGCCTGATCTGGGTCTTGGAAGAAATAACAGAGAATATTGCCTTCATCGAGTGTGATGATTCATGGAAAGTCGTGAGTGCCAAAGGTGAAGTCGAAAAAATCTGGGGCCCATCTGTCGTTCAAAAAGGCCAGTCGATCACCGACCTTTTACCTTGTTTGCCATCGGAATCTCTTGAGACATCCCTCGAGAAGGGATTGGCTAAAATCGTGGAGCTGAGGCACTTTGCCGCCCGCACTGCGGCTGGCGTTTGTATTCCCGTCGCTGTCGGCAAGGGAGAAGGAGATTATACTATGCAAGTCTCCAGCTTTCCTCATGTCGCAGGCATGATGGTGCTCTCGTCCTCGTCATTGAACGTGATCAGCTCCAACTCTGTGTTCTCTTCGGTTCTCTTCGGTCAAGAGAGACCGGAAGGACTTCACATCACTCAGCTTGTACCCGATTTCGATGAGATGCTAGACGTTTTGACCGAGGAGGACAACGTACCACTAGTTGATGGTATTGTCATACCGGAACACAGCTTCCGACGTGCACGGACACTTTCTATTCTCCGCGACGGAAAAGCAAATGCCGCCTCTGTGTTTACAGAGCCAAGTGGCTTGCTTGCCAAGCATCGGGATGGCTCGACCATTGTCGTGGACATTCAACTGCGCGTGGTTCAGAGTGGCACCTGCTTCTCAAAGGACAAGACAGAGAAAAGCAGCAAAAGCAGCAAAAGCAGTGATCGCACCAGTGACTCTGATGAGAGTGATGATACCGTTGCAGTCACAGAGTTGGTCTATGCTTTGTGGATAACCTACTCGAGACAGCTCCACGCTGCTGGACCCGCTGCTGGCCTGTCGCCATCATCTGTCCCAAGTTCTAAGCCTACCTCACCCACACATGACCCTGATTCAGATCGCCCGTTAGACGCCGGTGTTGCTGCCCAGACGGAAAACCCCAAGATTTCTGTGGAGATTGAAGCTCCGACGTCAGCACTTAGTCAACAACTCAGTGAGGCTGCCTCTGAGCCTCTGACCACCCGTCCCCCGCAGCCCGTTCCTCCGGTCTCGGCTGCCAATGCGAAGAACGACCCTCCGGCGAAACGAACGATCAACGACTACGTGATTCTCGAGGAGATGGGACAAGGAGCCTACGGCCAAGTCAAACTGGCCCGTTTAAAGAAGCAGCCTAGTAAGAAGATGGTGTTGAAATTCGTCACGAAGAAGCGGATCCTGGTGGATACGTGGACTCGGGATCGGCGACTCGGGACTGTGCCATTGGAGATCCATGTTCTGGACTTCTTACGGCGGGATGGGCTCAAGCACCCTAACATTGTGGAGATGGAAGGCTTCTTCGAGGACGATATCAATTATTACATTGAAATGACTCCTCACGGGCTTCCGGGAATGGATCTGTTCGATTATATCGAGCTCAAGGCCAACATGGACGAGCTGGAGTGCCAGAACATCTTCCGACAGGTTGCGAGCGCCATTAATCATCTCCACACCAAAGCCCTGGTGGTACATCGTGACATCAAGGATGAGAATGTGATTCTTGATGGAGAGGGACGGATCAAGTTGATCGACTTTGGGAGTGCGGCGTACATCAAAAACGGGCCATTTGATGTCTTTGTGGGAACCATTGGTAAGTTTCCATCTCTTTGACCGAGGAGGATTCAGTGCTGACTATGTTTGTTAGATTATGCCGCGCCCGAGGTCTTACAGGGCCGGTCGTATCGAGGCAAGGAACAGGACATCTGGGCTCTAGGGATTCTCCTTTACACCATCGTCTACAAAGAGAACCCGTTCTACAACGTCGATGAGATCCTTGACCACCCCCTCCGAATTCCTTTCCTTCCTTTCTCGGAAGACTGCATTGACCTCATCCGCACGATGCTCGATCGTGACGTTGACAACCGACTCACCATTACCGAAGTGCTTGAACATCCTTGGATGGTGGTGACTTGAATCCCTTCTCATACGACTCTACTCTCCCTTCTCCCTCCGCCTTTTACTTATTGACAAAAAAACACAAATAACGCGATACCCCACAAAGTTACGTTTTGATGATGGATGCCAAATTTTCCGGGAAACTGGGTATCATTTCGGGGCCGGTGTGGAGCGAGTGTCTGTTCTTCTAACTTCCCTAGGACCACGTTGATGATGATGATGAACATCAACGCATGATTTGTCTTACTTCTTTTATCGGGGTTTATACTTATCGAGCTTTTTTCACCCCCTTTTCATGGCATTTGAATTTGCGATACCTTTTGCATATCTCTTTATGTGACCTAGAGACCTAAGAGGGCAGACTTACATACAACGTACGGAGTACGGCTTTGATTAAATTGCGGGGAACATTTAGCGTACGTTCTCTTTCTGGCAAATAGTCTACGATAGCCTAGGCTATGACTATCACCTCTCCACCTCAAACGAGACAAACATGAAACTTACCGTAAAATACAAAGTCGAACCTCGGAAGACATACATATGGCATGTTCAATTCCATGGTTTCTCTGCCATCGTACCACGGGTTAGTTGTCTTCCCCGCACGCATCCCACCAGCGAAAATAGTCCGAAAGAGGCGAAAATGAATTTAACGGGTTGCCTCTCAGGATTCAGGAACGACTTCGCCTTCGGGGTGTCCCTGGATCGGTGCCTCGAGTGGATTCCCGCTTGGGTATCTTCTGTTCAAGGCGTCGTCAGCCGAGTGTGCACTTGGTTTCACATTAGACGATCTGTGTCAAGACATTCTGTATCGTAGAAATGAAAGTAGGATATACTCTAGGATATACTCCAAAGTCACCGAGATATAGAATATTAAGAAATGGTTCAAGCACATGCCTGTATATACCGGTGCCTAGTACTAACAGACGAGGAGCGATAAGCAGATAACGTAGAGGGGCGAGGTACTTGCGCAGTACAACGTCGTGCTATGTGAGAAAAGGCCAGTGCCAGGTTTAGCAGAGGTATCGCATTCCCTTCCGCTCTGCATTCCGCCATTTCTTGTTTCTCTTTGCACCTCTCTTTCTCTCCTCCTTTCGCAACTTCCCCCGCCCTCTGTATCTTCTACTCGGCTCTTTCGGTTCTCTCGGTTTTGCTGTACGGTATCTTTGCCGAAACCTGTTCCACGGTTCCTTCGCCGTGGCCCTACAACAAACAATAACGGTCAATGTGATTTTTCCCCACCGACATTCTGATCACTTCCTCTCTATGTCTCTCTGACCTTCAAATCGCTAATATCCAAAAGACCGGTCATCCTTGAGATCTAGCACTATGCCCATTTAAGAGCCCGGTGACTGCGCGCCCGTCGCTCTATCGTTTCCACCGTCCCTCCGTTGCTATCCTCGCTCGTGTGATCCTCCGTACCGTGCCGACGCCCCCCGGAAGACGCGACAAGATATTGGTGGGCCAGATCACAGGTGCTACAGCCGGAATCAAGTTGCCAAAATGGCCTCCCAAGTGTCCGACGGGGCCCTACCCTCGCCGGGGAGTATCTCTCCGAACATTCCGACCAATTCGACCGGCCAGATCCCATTAGAGCAGCCTCCGAAACTCAAGGGTCGTCAGAAGTTACTGCAGAGTCTCCAACGCATGTCGTCCAGCCCGACGCTGACCAGACGCGGACGCTCCTCGTCAACCACTGGCTACCGCCGAGACAATAAGGCTTCCCTCTCTTGTGTTTCGCTATCGTCGACTTCCTACTCGCCCTGTCTAGGCAATGGAAGTTCCTCCCAGCTCTATGGCGGCCTCAATCCCCGATCTGCTACTCCCGGCTGTTCTGGTTCTCCCGGTGAGTCCCAGGGCGCAAACGCTCGCATCCGTTTGATGGAGACCGATGACCCTGGTTTCCCTGTACCTCGCACCGTGCCTATGCCCTCCGATATGAGGCCAGCGTCGCGTGGGTCGCCACGCAGCGCGACGCCGGTGGATGTGAAGGTGGAGACTGAGGTCATCCTTCCAGAGTCCCAGCCGGCCAGATCTTTTGACTTTTGGGGCGATATGCCACAGGAGCTTAAGGTGAAGATCTTCCAATACCTCACCCCGCAGGAAATTGTATGCTGCGCCCCTGTATCCAAGGCGTGGAATGAGATGTGCTACAACGGACAATTATGGTCCAAGGTTGATACGACCGAGTACTACTCTAAGATCCCGGGCGATGTTTTGCTTAAGCTTATCACCTGTGGTGGTCCGTTTGTTCGAGACCTCAATCTCAGAGGCTGCGTTCAGATGCGTGAGAAATGGTCATCGGACGGTCGTATTTCGGATCTATGCCGGAATGTTGTCAATCTCTCGCTTGAGGGTTGTCGCATCGAAAAGGAATCCATCTACACTTTCCTTCTTCGTAATCCCCGCTTGGAATATATTAATCTCTCGGGTCTGTCGAATGTTACAAACTCGGCCATGAAGCTCATTGCACGGTCTTGTCCGCAGCTTGCAACGTTGAATGTTTCTTGGTGTAGAAATATTGATACCTCCGGTCTTATTCGGATTGTCCAGTCCTGTTGGCGGTTGAGGGATCTTCGGGCCAGCGAAATCCGCGGGTTTAAGGATGAGAAATTCACTTTGGCTTTGTTCAAGCGCAATACTTTGGATCGCTTGATCATGAGTCGTACCGACCTAACCGATCAAAGCCTGAAGATGCTGATCCATGGCGAGAACCCAGAGATGGATATCTTGACCGATCGCCCTATCGTTCCACCTCGAAAACTCCGTCATTTGGACCTTCACAATTGCCCTGAAGTGACCGACGATGGATTTAAAAGCCTGGCCCATAACGTTCCAGATTTGGAAGGCCTGCAGGTTTCTCAGTGCTCCGAGCTGACCGATGAATCCGTCATTGATGTCATTCGCACGACGCCAAAACTGTCGCATTTGGAACTGGAGGATTTGGAGAACTTGACAAACGCTACCCTGGTGCAGCTGGCTGAATCTCCATGTGCCCAAGAGTTAGAACACTTGAACATCAGCTACTGCGAGAGTCTCAGCGACACGGGAATGCTTCGCGTAATGAAGAACTGTCCGAAACTCCGATCCGTCGAAATGGACAACACCAGAGTGTCAGATCTGACCTTGATGGAAGCCAGCTTCCGCGTCCGCCGCCGCGGATACAGCGACGACCTCCCCCAAGTCGGGATGCGCCTTATGATATTCGACTGCGCCAATGTCACCTGGGCAGGGGTCAGGGAAGTCCTCTCCAGCAACGCATACATCCCGCGCGCCTCCCGCAAAGCCGTTGCAACAGTGGTGACGGTGACACAAACATCAGACGCCTCCTCCCCGGCGACAAGTACCTTCGTCACTCCAGCCTCCTCACCCTCGCCGTCGCCAGCACCAACCTATCCCAACGAAATCATCCAGCTGAAATGTTTCTACGGCTGGCAGATGACCGTTGATGAACACATGAAACGTGTCCTGCGCGGCGATCTCACCGCTGCATCCCGGCTGGACCGGAAATGGGCCGAATACATGGTGGCCACCGAGGAGGCCGGCGCCACTGGTGCTGGTGCTCGCCGACGCCGACGTCGTGCCCGTGAAGCTGAGCGTCTGTACAACGAAGACGAAGATGAGAACGATGCTTCCGGCGTAGGCTCTGTCTCTGCTCCTGGCGGGAGACGCAGGCGAGCCCAGAGTGGCGGTAGCTGTATTGTCATGTGAGGTGAACGCCTCTTGCGGTGTGTTTTGGGAACACCTGTTTTTCGAGCTAGACTCAAGACGACTCTGCTAGCGCAGGACCGCTAGTGTTTCAATGGATGTCCCGGACGACATCCATTTGAAACTGAAGATCATATCCAATGGCCATTGTCAAGTTACTATGAATTACGCACGATATGATTTTCTTTTTCGGGACAACATCTTTCCCAGCGCAACACACTTTCTTTTGCGTTTTGACTTATTTTTTGGCCATTCATCTCTCTCTCTCTCTCTTTTTATATCTGTCTACCATCTATCCTCACATCTTACCACATTCACCTCCCTGCTTTTAGCTCTGGCGCCAACTTCGGACTTTCTTTCCTGCATGTTATATGAGCTTTTTATACGTTGACATCTTTTGCCATATCGAGATTTCAGCTCCAGCATACGTATCTAGAGGGGTTACCGGCGAGATGATTGGTGTTTTTGGTTTTTGGTTTCTTTTTCCTTTTAGTCTGTCTTTCCTGAGCTTTTCAATTTGACATTTATGCTGCCTTTCTGGCTGCTTTTATGACACTTCACTTCCAATTTATATCATCTAGCCATAGATCTACGCGATGCTGATGGGCTTTTTGTAGACTCTAAACTATTTGGCCTAAGATGATACTGCGGGTGATAGACGGGTACTTTTGACTTAAGTGTTTGCTCAGTGTCATAGATATAGCCTGAGTCATCTGCTTGCACCCTCTGAACCAATTGCCTTACACATTATAGCCGTCTAAATTAATAGATTTTCAGAGAAAGCAAGTAGTACGGCATACATGCCGGCATTAAGAATGATGCAATGTAAAAATAATTGCAATTACAATGACCGAACTGCGTGTCACTGGAAAGAAAGATAGAAAAAGCAAAGAAGTACATCACATGAAGAGAAAGGCACAATCCCCCAATACCATGAAGCTCTAAAAGAAAGGCAACACTTGGGAGATACTATCTCTCTTAAAGGTAGAGTCAATCTCATTTCTGATCCCATTTCCGACCTCATTTTCCCTTTTTTTTGATTTTCAGTTTTAAATTTCCCTCATCCTGCACAGGAACCTCCGCTGATACTTGGCTCTAGTCGAGACCAGTCTCGTCGTCAACTTCAGACAAGGTCCGAGCTGCTCCATGGTCCAACTGCTGAGTACCGGGCTGTTCGCATGCGCTTTGCTCCACATTGGACAGGTCAATGGGGTGAGCGTTGTTAGTGGCGGCATCGGTCACTGCCTGCTCGGTTTCAGGTTGCTTGCTCATCAGTTGCACCTGGGTATGGTGAGCACGTGCAGCGACTTGAATCTCAGCATTCGTAAAAGCGAGAGCAGCGGTTCTGGTCTGATCATGGCCGCGCTCATCGATGAATTCTTTAATTGAATCCCAGATACCCAAGCCGAGCTCAGTGTCCATAATTCTGCTGGAAACAGCATGTTGTTCCTCCTCAAGGCCCGAGGGCGCGGATTCGAGGTCTTTCAGTATTTCTCCGGTGACTTGTTTCATGCGGACTTCCATAGCCTCTTCTGTGAACTCTTCTGAGTTCTCTTCCGAGACCTCTTTGTGGATCCCATCTGTGGCCTGCTTTGAAAGATCCATCGAGCTTTCGCCGTCCATGCCAAAGTCCATTTGGGAAGCAGGCCGCTTTCTACTGCTAGCAACTTCATCACTCTGTCCAGCGAGATCTCCAGGCTGATTGCCATCACCTGCGTCCATTTCATCGTCTGTCTCTTCATCCTCGTCCAACAGGTGGTTCCCGTACGGTCTAGCAAAATGTTCATAGTCGATATCTTCGAGACCATGGCCATCGAAAAACTCCTTCGGGACGATAGTTGTTCTCACGCCACGCATCACAGGTCCACAACGAACATTGTAACCCCATGCTTGCCACAACGGGCCGACCTCAATCTCACGGGTGATCAGGTCCGGAAGCACAGCGCAGAGATGGTGCTCCGCAGCCACGAAGTCGCGAGCCGAGGCCTTGCCCTTGTACCGCGACTCTCTCTCCGGGCCATAAGGCTTGTGCTGTGTCATCTGACGAGTGATAGTATGACGAGCACTCACGGCAGTTTCAGGTGCGATGACCGCCCCAACAGACCAGCTCGGGTTGGCTTGCATGATCTCCCTAGTTCGCTCATGGAGCAACCAGCCAATGCATTTAGCGTGTTCGCGTCCACAGAGGATGTAATACCCTTTGTAGATTGGGAAGAAAGGGAGGCCGTGAGCCCAGATGATGGGGGCAGGTCCCGAAGACACACGTTCGGGTTTGATATGACCCATTTTGTCGAAGTCGTATGGGTATCGACGTGACAGTTCGAGGGCGTTTGTGAACTTGCTCACGAGATAGACCAACTCATCTGATAGTCGGTTGTTGATCGGAGGCAAGATTGGCTTGTCGGTTTTTGAGTCGAACTCGATGTTCACGATCAGTTTGAGCTGAGCTTCTTCTTCCTTCGTGGTGGGGGGCTGTCCTTCGCCATCTTCGGGTGTCCAAATAACATCGGGATTGGTTTCGAGGTGTTCCTTGAGGGCGCTTGCGCAATGATCCCGAAGGATTTCCTGTTGTTTGAGGAAGTCTGCTCTACCTGGCATGTCGCAGGCCATTCTGGCCTCTTTCTCTGGAGGCATCTTGGCTTGACTTGAAAGAATTCAGAATGGATTGGAAGATCTGCGCTCTGTTAGGAGGTCAAATGATTAGATGTATACTCGGTTGATCAAAATGATATTGAAAGCAAGGAGATTTTGGGACAGAAGGTGGTTAACAGTTCTTCATTGGTCAATAAGAGTTCGGATGAGCAGATGTATGACTGACCAGTGATAAGAGGAGCGACCATAGACTTGACCTTAGAAAAGAAAAGACACTTTGATGGTAAATCAAAGTTCGAGTTTGTTGCGGAAGTTTGAAATATGAAGGAGTCTGCGTTATAGATATAGGAGTCAGCGAATATGAAATTGCGCAGGAGTCAATGAATATGGAAGTCGCCGTTTGCCGCGAGATACATCGTAAGGTGAACATGAACAGAACATAAGGATAGAGATCGAAGTATAAAGGGGGTAATCTTGCAAGATATCTTACCTGTAGTGGACAGCGAGGTCGCAATGGGATGGCGACAAGTATGAAAGTCGAATTGAGAGACACAACAACGCAAGGTAGATGTGTAGAAAAGCCAGATATGCGAGATAGACGCGAATTCAGATCTCAGTAACGAGGTCGCAGGTATTGATCCAGTGGTCGCAGCCTGTGAACTCGTGAGAGGTTGATGTGGTTATGTAGCCCTAAGCCTGTGATGTATGCCCATAGATGCATAGTTGTTAGCCGGAACACGAATAACCGATTTCACTTTATAAGGAATACCATCTGTTGCATGTATGAACGGCCGTCCAAACGTTGTAATAGCTATATGGAACTCACACCAGTCTACTTAGCGATCCGCCACCCAGTGCGTATGGTAGAGTTATAGTTCGTAACGCGATTAACGCAATAAGTATGTACAAGTTGGCTTATTCGTTTACTTTCAACCTTTCACCTTCCCATGTTCCTAATCAATCCTCCTTTTTGCAATTAACTCTGCTATCCCAACCTTCATTGCATTGAGCTAGCTTCGGAGTCAATGCTTCAAGTAGCACTGATGTATGCAGGTGGAGAATCCGGTTATTACCCGGTGAACTTTTTGAACAGGTCGCTTGGTTATATTGCAATAGAATGTATAGAATGCTAGTGTGGATATCAAGACAAATAAGACATAAACCAATGATCAAACTTATGAATCGGTTACTCAAAGAAACCACCATCGCTATCATCCTCATCCTCTGCATTGGCTTGCTGTGGTGCCTCGTGTTTCTTAGGAGCCCGCTCGCTGTGTACAGGCTTCTCCTTCTTGCTGCTATTCTTGTCTTTGGAAACATGCTTGTCCTTTTGGGTAGCATCGGTATCTTTCTGTTGATCTTTCTTCTTGCTCTTCTCCTTGTGGGTATCCGTAGCTGTAGCTGTGCCAGACGACGGAGCTTGGATCTTCTCTCCATTGGCGTTGATGCGCAACTTTCCTTCACGAAGAAGGTCCAGTGTCTTTTCTTCCATACACTTCTCAACAACGGACCACAACGGGGGCTTGGCATCGTCCGATTTGGTTTCTTGCGTTTGCAATTCTGTCTTTGGGTCCGTTGCGTCGGGTTTTCCATTGGGGTAGATTGAAATATATTTCTCTGTGAGAGGATAGTAGATCGTGTAGTTGAGGTTCACACGGCATTGGTGGATCTTTGCTGCAAGACGAGCTTTTTGTTTCGAATCCAGACCCTCTTCCTTCTCGCGGCGAGTCAATCGGCCGAGTTCCTTGGTAGCAGTTTTGCGGTCTATTCAATAGGAACACAGTACGTTAGCGGGAATCACAAGATCATTCAGACATATCGGCCACATACCAAGGAATCGGACAAAGTGATATTTCTTGATCAATGATGACCGTTCTCTGCGTGTAGTTTCATCCGCAAGATCTTGCTCATATCCAGCGAGGGCACGTTCCTGCAAGATGCGAGCATCGGCAGACAAATCAATTTTGTTGAGTAGTCGCTTCACGTCGCGAATTCGCTTTTTCAGATCGTTGATCGACGGGTATTCCTTTTCAGGTTTGGGAGCAAATTTGTCCTTGTATTTCCGGGTCACTTTGGGCTTCGATGCATCGCCTTTGCTGCTGTATTCCTCGAATTGGACTTGGCCATCTGCTTTGTCGGCCTTGCGGTGCACCTTTTTGCGGGCCGGGGGAACATCCTCTGACCCATCCCGGGTCTTCCTCTTTGGGGGAGCTGCCCGATCACGGTGGTCTCGAGTGTCTGTAGACATGTTTGTTGGTCTGACAGAAAAGGAAAGGAAAAAAGAGGTTGAAGCTACAGCAAAAACGATAAGAAAAAAGATATCGGCGGATTTATCGGCCCGCCCCCCAGATTGGCGCCAACCAATGAGCGTCTCCGTTGATCACCATCACCAACGGCCCTCTCTCGTCGCATTGATTTGATTTACTCCAATTGGTCGCTTGAATTTTTGTACCTGACAATTTGCACATACTCATGCTACTGAGGTAATTACTGAACCAAGCTTACTAAAAGGACCAGCATGGAGTCTGCCATTCGCTGGTCCCCGACCTCGTCGGCCACTGAACAACGCTTCCTGTCCGTCGACGTCACGGGGAAATCATTTCGTCTGTGTAGGGTGACTGGATTTGACGGAAAGTATATACGCCATGAAGTGCTCTCCACTCTGACCAATGTACCCGGTTTTCGCGCATTCGACTGGTCTACTTCAAATGAGAACCTGATCGCCGTGGGCCAGTCGTCTGGGGAGGCTACTATCCTACGCCTCGATGGGGATGCCAAGGAATCTCTTTCATTTCCAGTCCGCAACCAACGGTACTGCAATGCTGTGGCGTTTAGTACACATGGTCTTGTGGCATCGGGCCTCGATCGCGTTCGGAACGACTTTTGCTTGAACATTTGGGACGTGAATCAACGACTCAGTCCTGCTGGCGGAAGTAAAGGATTTACTGAGCCTTTACGGAAGCTCGCCAGCTCAGAGCCTATTACCAGTATCAAGTTCTTCCGGGACCAGCCTGATACGATCGTAACTGGTGTTAAAGGCCAGTTTGTTCGGATCTATGATCTAAGAGGTTCGTCTTTCCTGGTTTCACATCCACGAAGGTGGAGCTGATTTCGTAACAGAGGGACCCGGCAATCCATCATTGCAATTCCCCACTCGATGTGTCCATAATCTGGCTATTGACTGGCTTGATGAGAACTACATTGCGTCTTGCATTCCAACAAATGAAAGCACCATCTGCGTATGGGACCGCCGCGTTGGAACCCGACTAACATCGCCAGCAATTGGTTCTTCTGCCAGTGCCACAGACTCGGGTCAAACGACACCTGCTTTGGAACTCAAGAATGTTTTCCATCCAAAATCCTCCATCTGGAGCTTGCGCTTCTCGCGGACGAACCGAGGCAGTCTCGCTGCGCTGTCCAGCAGCGGTCATTTCAAGAATTACGACATTTCCAAAGACTACCTGCCGGAAGAGTATCGCTCTTCGATAGACGAGACTCTTGGTCAGGGATCTTCCAGAAATTATCCAGAATCCGTATACACCAAGCACGTACGGGACGTATGCATACCCTTTGATAACCCGACTCGCGGCTACAGAGAAAAGGACCGGATTGTTTCATTCGATTCCCTGAATATTAGCTTGTCCCCTCAACCAAGTTCTATCGCACTCGACGGCAATGGACAACCTCAGATCATCACCGCGCGGCCCCCGTGCGCACCAATTGATCTATCTTCACGGAGTGTATTGGCCTGTGGGATCTCATCGAATGACTCAGATGTGCGATCGATTCACCCACTTTCTGAGCACATTGCGCCCATATCCGGCCTGATCGAAGAAATCAGGTCACGAGTCTACTCAGCCTCGCAAGAGCAGGAGGCAAATGCAAATGATGAACTGTTTGTGCCAAAGAATCTTGATTTCGAGCCTGTCCCAAGCCACGAGAATAGGGAACGCGCCATGGCTATCGGGGTAATGGGGGTCCCTCTTACTGCCGAAGAAGCGCTCACTCAATGCACAATCAACCAGTTCCGGTGCAAAGAGGGTTATTTGTTTGATGAGGATCAAAACCGAAAGGTGGCATCTGATGACCAAGCTCTACAAGACTTATGGGACTGGATTGAACGTGGGTTTTTCATTTTTCCGTGGGGTCACAAACAAACATCTAATACATTTCCTAGGTGCTCGAAAAGAGTCTTCCGGGACGTCAATGGTTGTCAATGGCTTGGACCTGAATTATCTAGGTGTGAGCAGTGTTTGGAATAATGACCTAGGTTTGTCTTCGCTTGAGTCTGAAGTCTTTCTCAAAACTGACGAGAGCACAGGCAATGGTCTCGAACAACGCCGTATTAGTAATAAGAAGGATGGTGCTAAAACATTTGCGGATACAGTGGCAATCTTGGTAACTCAGTTGAATCTCCCTGAGACAAAAGGTTGTGACACGGCTTACCCCGACCATCGCCAACTCTGCCTTCGTATCTGTGGTGCAACGCAATCCTACCGTGAACTAGAGGAGTCAGTGAAAGCTTTATCTGGCGAAAACCAGCATACTAAAGCCGCTGCGTTGGCTGTCTTCCAAGATGAGCCCAAGCTAGCCTACCTCGGGCTTCGAAGCAACAACCCCACTCAAGCACATAAATTGCTAGCCATGGCGATTGCGGGTGCCACCAAGGGGGACACTGACACAGACTGGGAGGATACTTGTGCGGAAATCGCGAAGGAGCTCACGGATCCATACGCCCGGGCGATCCTAGCCCTTGTGAGCAAAGGCGACTGGAATGCAGTTATCAAGGAAACCACACTACCTCTGAAGTATCGCGTAGAGGTCGCGCTACGCTGGCTTCCAGATGACGAATTAACTGAGTATCTGAAGGATGCTACAAGCCAAGCAATTCGTCAAGGCGATATTGAAGGAATCGTCCTCACTGGCTTGGGTCATTTGGCCATGGGTCTGTTCCAATCTTATATTGGAAAGTTCAATGATGTCCAAACTCCCGTGCTAGCAATGAGCCATACCGTGCCGCGGCTTGTTAGCAACCAAAAACACATTGTCCAGTTTGAGGCCTGGCGTGAGACCTACCGGCGGCAAATGAACTCCTGGAAACTCCAACTCGAGCGAGCCCGATTCGACGTTGGCTCTCGTCGTTTCGCCGTGACTGCAGACGGTCGCAAACTCATGCCACCACCACCGCAGCAAGTCAGCCTCACCTGTAACTACTGCACGAGTCCGCTTACCCAGCACGACGCTTCCTCCCAGGTCTCCACTACCAAGGGTGCCGAAACTGTGCATCCCACCGCCGGGAACCCACTGGCACCTACAGTCATGTCCGGGACTGTGTGTCCGCGGTGTGGTCGACATATGCCGCGCTGCGGCATCTGCACTTTGTGGCTGGGTTCGCCAGACCCAATGTCACGCGCCAGTAGCGCAGCTGATGCCGAGGCGGGCTCTCGCGAACCCACTGAGACTGAAGTGATGCGGCGGTTTGTGGTGTTTTGTATCCATTGCAACCATGGGTTCCATGCAAATCATGCCAATGACTGGTTTAAGCGACATAAGATCTGTCCCGTAGCAGAGTGTAACTGCATCTGTGATCGGTGATTATTTCTATTGCCCGTTCTGAGTCATGATATCTCCTACTTGTGTTTCTGTGATATTCTATACCCAATTGATGAGAAGAATGATTAAAGATAATTCGAATCCTTTGACCTGATATGTAGATAATAGATGTGCGTCATATCGACATCAGAGGTCCGCCTAAATAACTGTGTAGAGGGCGACGCGACTGACTTCAACATCTCGTCAAAACATCCTAGGCTTGAAAAGCTTTTTCCAGCCGCTAATTATCGTTTTTAACCTTGAAGTTTATTTTAATGAGAAGAAAGATACGATTTGCAAAGATATTCAGGTACACGAGATCTTGTAGAGCCGCATCTTATAACATTTGGAGTGCCCCACCAGAATATTATTCTCAACAACTCCCCGAATCTCTTGATAAATATGGCTCATCCCAAAGACAACAAAGATAAGCGGGGCCGTGGCCATGGTCAAGGCCAAAGTCGCGATGTTCAGGTCTCCAAAGCATTAAGCTTGCTTCTGCGACATGCCGCTGAGAAGGAGGGGCTGAAAATGAACGCACAGGGTTATGCGAGCGTGCCAGACGTGGTATGCAGCTTTGTCGTTTCAATAACCTACGATATACTGACTATATCTGACTCCAGTTGAATTGGAGGAAGCTCAAATCGCTAAAAGTCACATTCCCCGAGATTCTATATGCCGTGAGCTCGTCCGATAAAAAGCGCTTCGCCCTCCTTCACATTCCATCCGCGCGAGCCACCAAATCCACAACCCAAGCATCAACAACACCAGTGACAACCCCCGATGCAGAGCACAAAGCCGGCACTATCTTAGGCGAAGACCAGGCCACAACATCCGTCCTGGAGTCCGCACTGAGCGAAGCGCAACAAACAGCCACCGACCAAGCATTAGCCGTCGAAGATACCGACCCGTCGAATTTTTTAATTCGCGCGACCCAAGGCCACAGCATCAAGACCGTAAATGCTGCCTCTTTCCTCGAGCCGCTTTCTTTATCCGACGAATCGAAACTACCCAAGACTGTCGTCCACGGCACGTTCCACGCGACTTGGCCTTTGATTCTACAATCCGGTGGACTACGCTGTATGGGGCGGAACCACATTCACTTCGCTACTGGACCCTCCTTAGAATCAGTGCTTGCTATTCACGCTGATGCTGCGGGGGGTAAACCGAAGCTTGATGACTCCCGCGTCATCTCCGGTATGCGGCGAGATGCACAGGTTTTGATTTATATCGATGTGCGCAAAGCACTTCAAGCAGGGGTACCGTTATGGCGCAGTGAGAATGGCGTCATTCTTAGTGAGGGCATACCTCTCGTGACGAGTGGGCAGGCTGAAAAGGGCGAGGGGGACAAGTTCGTCTCGCTGGACTTCTTCGATGTGGTAGTGGAGCGTAAGGTCGGGTTGGGTAAGCTCTGGGCGAACGGGGGGGCTCTACAGGAACTTCCGGAGACTCTCACGAAAAGGAATCCCAAGGCCCGGCGATGAGTGTGATATGGAGATATGCCAGTGCAACTGTAGGGAGTATCATATACTCCGTACAGCCGGGATTTTTGTTGTTCAGCTCGACACAGACGACCACGGGGAATACAAATAATCCCCTTTCTAATGATCTACACATACAGTGTGGAATCATTTCCATCCCAAGTTGTCCCCACTTCGATTATAGGGCTGAGGTTTTACCCAGCCGAAGGGTCCTGTCTACCCAGCGTGTTATCTTACTATAACGGTAATTCCGACGGCCTAGAGCTGTGTAATATATCATGACACTTATATATACATCGTATTGCGATGGGATTTCGGAAGCTGTTTGTAGCTTTCTGAGGTATACAACACTCTACAACTCTATAAAAAAGAGGCTTCTATCTGTAAGATATTCATATTTCTGACATTTCATTCCATCAAAATCCAAACCTCTTAAACAATTCATTGCCAAGCTCCATGCCAAGCTCTGCAGCTACCCGACTGCGGGGAAATCGGAAGAGCAACCTCTTCCGAATCCCTGACCGACTGACACCGTACTTTTATGCACATCCGACGCCTCCATACCCCAATCATGCCATTGGCGTGGGGTTGCGGGGTTGTCCTCGAATAGGCGTCATGTATTTGGTCAGATCCACAGACTGGGAATCCCGTCGGATCACCAAGTGTGGTATATAACAGTCTCAAGGGGTTTGGATAATCGCATATTCTCCTCTCCTGCTTTCTGTATTTGAAGTCGCACTTGTACACATCGCAAAATACATTCATTTACGCGCAAAAATGGCGACGCACCGCTTCGATCCCAACTTCACGGACAATGTCATCAACGCGATGGGTCCTAAGACCACCCCGCGCATGCGGAAGCTCATGGCCGGTCTAATCAGGCACATGCACGACTTTGCGCGTGAGGAGGAGCTCACCGTCGACGAGTGGATGGCCGGCGTGCAGATGCTCAATTGGGCAGGACAGATGAGCGATGACAAGCGGAACGAGGGACAGCTGGTGTGCGATGTACTGGGACTGGAATCGTAAGCCGAAGTGTTGTTCGAGAGTGAAACAAAGTCATCAGCTAACATGTATTCGTTGCACAACAGTCTCGTTGACGAAATCACCTTCACCCTCGCCGAGGAAGCCCAGGATGCACCCACAGCCACGGCCATCCTGGGTCCGTTCTTCCGCGCCGATACCCCATACCGCGAGAACGGCGAGAATATCGTCAAGACGAAACCCGCTGATGCCGAGATGGCGTTCATGCACGGTCGCGTCGTGGACTTCCAGACCAAGCAGCCTCTTGTCGGTGCGACGGTCGAGGTGTGGCAGGCTTCCACCAACGGGTTGTACGAGCAGCAGGACCCCGAGCAGGTTGAGTTCAACCTGCGCGGTAAGTTCAAGACGGATGCGGATGGCAGGTACTCGTTCTACTGCATGCGTCCGACGCCGTACCCCGTTCCCAACGATGGTCCTGCTGGCAAGCTTCTTGAGCTGATGGATCGTCACCCTTTCCGCCCTGCTCACATTCATATTATTGTAAGTTTGACGTGGTATTCGGTATAGTGTTGAGACAGAAGCTGATATCTTGTCCAGGCTACCTATGATAACTACCGTCCTTTGACAACGCAGATCTTCGACAGCAAGGATAAGTACCTTGATAACGACTCAGTGTTTGCTGTCAAGGACTCGCTTGTCGTGGACTTTGTGCCGCGTAAGGGCGATCCTCAAGCTGCCACGGAGCTTGAATATGATGTCAAGTTGGTGAAGTTCGACACCAGTACCAATGGCGCATGAGCGAGCAGCATTAAACTAGCATTTTTGTGATTTCTGATGTACTTTACGATAGCGGGATAGCATTGAAGATAACCAAAAAGCCAAACATGATTACTGGCATATTCATCATTCCGTTCTAAATAGAGACTATTTCAAGCATTCAAGCATTCACAGAATCCGCAAACTTGGCGATTAACTCACCCACCTCGTCAGCGGCCTCAATACAATGCCAGTGCCCAACTCCCTTCAATACCTCGAGGGACTTTTTCTCACTCGAGACATGCTCAAAGATATACCGGCACCCCTCCATAGAAGCAGACTTGTCCTCCTCGCCCGCAATAAGCAGGAAAGGCTCCTTGACCGCAGCATAGTTAGGCGGCTTCGCGGCAGCAATAGCGCGGCACATCGCGGCATAGCCCTTAGGATCCTGGCCCAGGACCAACTCCCGGATGAACGCCTTCTGAAGCGGGGTGCTGCGTGAGCCGACAGCTCCAGATGGGATGGTATCTGCCATTGGCTCCATTCCAGCTGCAGAAGATTTAGTACATGATGAAATAAAACAACATAGCAAGCTTCGAATGGGAAAAACTCACACTCAAGCACAGTATCCGATCTTCTATTCATGACCCCCACCAACATATCAGACGGGTGCGTCGGCCCAATGGCGACAACGCCCAGTACGCGATCGGGAATCCGTGCACCAAGCTCTAGTACTACGAGCCCGCCCATTGAATGGCCGACTACGACGGCTTTGGCGATATGCAGCGAGTCCAGCGCGCCGATGACATCTTCTGCGATACTGGGAATCGTGATTGTGTCATTGGTGTACGGGGAGCGGGCGGCGCCGTATGTGTCGAGTGTGATGCAGCGGTGGAGCTTCGTAAGGTGCGGGATTACTGGGTAGTAGTAGTTTTGTGAGGAACCCAGGCCGTGGATGAAGATGAATGTGAGGCCGTTTTTGGGAGGGCCGGAGGGGTGGGAGTCGGCATAGTAGAGACGATGGCTGTTTGCTTGGACGAACGGCATTGTGGATTAGGAGTCCGATGGGAATGGGATCAATCCAAGATCAGAGAGTATGAAGAAATAAAGTAATGAAGGAATAAAGAAGCGGGCAGCCCTGGGGATCTATAAAATGATAGGTATGTAACGTCATTCCCGGTAAGATTCTGGCTACAATAATAAGACAAATGTACAACATACACAATGTTCTGAATCCTCTAGACTGTTTTTGGTCATTCCGACGGAAGAATTCATCTCTTCTAATCCAAAATATTCGAGTCTCCCGAACCGAAGGGCCTTGTGATGTATCCGAACTGCGCGGATATCACCCGACTGTCGGACCGGACCCGATCTCCATAATGCCAAGACTCCAAGGGAAATGTACGCCGTACGGTGTAGGTACTCCAAAGCTGCAAGATCAGAGACAAAATGCAGCGAATTACCAAGTGCAAGTAAAATCATGCAGAGGCTTCTTTATTGAGTTCGTCAAAAGGGTCGCCGCTTCCGCGTGCAAATAATTCTTCCATCCAATCCGCAGTCTCGTCTCGAAAGGAATCTCCAATAGAAGACGCCAAGGTGGGTCTACTGCACGGTCGATCAGACAAAGGAGGTTGTAAAGAGGAGGTGTCCTTGGGTGGGGAATGGTCTCTCGTTCCAGGACTTTTCGTTTGTATGATAATAGCCGCCTCGGCTTCAAGGAAATCGGCGGGGTCGTACTGGAAAGAGTCGAAAGATGATTCTAGCGTGAGTACAGCCGGGGAAGGTCGTATGTAGGATGATTCCTTGGGTATAGGGGGGCTCTTCGTTTCTTCGTCAGTTGCTCGTGTAATAGCAGCCGTCTCGGCTTTTTTCAAAATCTCTTCGTCGTCGAACGCCGAGCAGTCCGAGAACTCATCTTCTTCCAAGGATGAAGCCCGGGTCACGGTGCCGATATCCTGGCCTTCAGGCTCTTTCGGGACACCTGCATCTTGAAGCTCAGATAGTTCATTTTCCAATACTTCATCCAAGTCATCCGATTCAGCTTCCGTATCTCCACCGGCGCTCCCCGAATTGTCATAATGTGCTTCGAGCTCCGTAACTGTAGGCGCAGGCTCCGGTGCAGCAGGTGATTGTCGCTTCCCAGCCCCTAGGAACATTGATAGCATAGGCTGACTCGAGGAGACGCGGGCATTGGGATCCGGGATGCCGCGACGCTTCCGCTCCTCACGGGCCTGCGCCTCCTGCTCGGCTTTCCGTTTCTTGTTGGCAATGCGTTTCTTTTCCTTCTCGCGTAGCTTCTTCGCTTTCTTTTCTCGCTCCTCCCGGCGATCTAGCTGTGCGATCTGGGATGCGGTGAACTGGAATCGTTGGTTGCTGCGCTGCCACCGGCGTTTAACTTCTTTGGATGTCTCCAATATGACGCGACGCGGTTTATCCGGCATAGTGGGGGCAACCGTGGCAGCGACTGCCTACTGCGTGTACTATCATGGGGATAGAGAGCTGTGGTGAATTTTACCCGAGCGCGTTGGGAGTGTCGATGCTGTTTTTGGTTCGCGGCGGTGATACGTTGTGCCGGTCGCGTAAGTCAACAAATTACCTAATTGGGCTGCACCTTTTCCATGATCTATAACTATGTATTGATCTATATTCAGTGTTTTGAGATGCTTAGAATTTGATTTCCTAATCCAATCCATACGCTAGGCTTTTGATTATTTAGTGACGTCATCTAGATTTTGCAGTCACGGACGGGATCCCAGCACACAGGCGCGTACGAGTTGAGCTTCAGACTGGCCATGTCCTCATCCGATAGCGTGAAGTCGAAGACCTGCGAGTTCTCCAGAATGCGAGACTCGGTCACTGACTTAGGCAAGGGCACGTATCCCTTCTGCAGACTCCAGCGGACCAAAATCTGAGCCTCGCTCTTACCGTGCTTCTTAGCCAGGTTCTGCAGAACTGGCTCCTTCATGCGAGTCGCTTGCACGAGGGGAGAGTACGCCTCGACAACGATGTTGCGCTTCTGCAGCCACTCCGCAATATCCTCGCGTGGGCACCAGGGGTGGATCTCGTACTGGCCGACGGTGATTTGTCCGCCCGCTCCGCTCTTGATGTACTCTTCCAACTCCTCGAGGTGCTGGATAGCAAAGTTGGACACACCCAACGAACGGACGTGGCCTGCCTTTTGGGCCTCCACAAGTGCGCGCCATGTGCCAAGGCGGTCTTCCTTGCCACCATAGGGCGCGTGAATCAGCATACTAATATCACAGTGTTAGTTCGCTAATCTGTTTTATTTCAGGAGAACAAGGAGATCCATACAGGTCAATGTAACCAAGGTTTGCCGCGGCGATGCTTTCCTCGATGGCCTTCTTTGCCTTCTCGTATCCCATGCATTTCGAGGGCACCTTGCTAGTATAGAAGATCTTAGAGCGATCAACTCCAGACCCGCGGATAGCGGCTGCACTTTCTAGTTCGTTTCCGTAGACTTTGGCGCAGTCGACCTGTAATAGGATGGTCAAATCTGGAAGCGATTGCCGCAATGGGTCCTGCAGTTGCTTACATGGCGGTATCCGATTTCAATGGCCTTGCGGGTCACCTTCTCAGTGACATCGGAGGGACTAGTCAAGAATAAGTCAATATAATCTGTCGCGGAGGTTTTATACAGCGATAATCATACGTTTGGTAAACCTAATTTGTAGATAAGTGTCAGTAATACATATCAGAACTCTAAGGGGCCAATATACTCACTCCGAACCCAACGACGGGGATCTCGTAGCCCGAGACCAACTTATAGGTAGACTGCAGCGAAATGGGAGCCATGATGTGCGAATTGATAGTTGAAAGGTAAAAGAAGGCAAATGAGGGGATTAGCTTGATAGATAAAGGTTTCGATATCCACGGACCACCTCGGCTCAGTCATTCCCGCCCGTTTCTTGGAGCTTTGACGCCATCGAAGTGGGGATGGACGATGAAGGGGACTAGATGCGGCTATATCAATGGCTGACGAATGCTACGTGGGGCTCAGATGAGTAATTGACGGCTTATTGAGGTTATTATTCCACATGGAACTGCCAATAATAACATCTGCAAGCTTTGACGTCAACTTTCCATGCCCCAATCTGATCTGATTAGGGTTAGGCTTTATCGATAAGGCATGACTCGTGACTCTGGCAGCGCGGGGTGATTTAATATATGCTCTGGAGGATTAGAATATTCCGCAATTCCTTATTCTCTGACGGCCTATTGAAAATCAAAAATGATCGCCCAGAATGAGTGCGTCAGCAGAATAAATGAGATTCTTGCAGGATGACTGGGCGGTAATGAACGGCATTATTCTATAGTGGGGTGAGTTTGGCAAGTTCAACATCGGCAATGCCCTCATATTAGGTTGATTTGTTCGATATATCCATGTTTACAGGAGCATTCTAAAGCTCTCGACGATTTGACCCATTTTCATACAACCCTGTTATCCCTCCAATCTGCGCATTTTGAGGCAACATATGACGACATCGCAATAACAACACGCCATTTACCATCCCAAGCCCTCAACCTATAACCGTGCAGTATCACCGCAAAAATGCGTTGCATCAAGAACAAAATTGAGCACAATGGCTCTGGAACGGTGACATTGTGCCCAGACGAGCCAGAAGACATGGTATTGAACCCCTCATTTTCAGTCTCAGCACCCCGCAGTCATCTGATATACAATTCGCTATATCTAGTGGCACGCCTACAACCTGATCCGACCAGGCGATATTCTGCGAGCCAGCGCAATTCGGCGAGTTACCACCGTTCAGGATACCGGGTCCACGAGCTCGGCGCGCGTTCATCTAAACCTTGTAATTCGCGTGAAGAATCTCGACTTCGACCCGCAGAGCTCTCAGCTCCATGTATCAGGACAAATTATCAACGAAACACCGCACACGAAAATCGGACAATTCCATACCCTCGATCTAGAGTTGAATCGCAACTTCACGTTAGAGAAAGAGGTTGGCGCAGATGGAGAAGGTGTCGGGTGGGACAGTATTGCAATTGAGTCACTCAAGGACGCTGTGGATGAGGGCGGGAAACGTCGTGCAGAGGCTGTCGCGGTAGTGATGCAGGAAGGACTGGCTCATATCTGCTTTATTGGCCAATTCCAGACAATATTGAAGCAAAAGATCGAGATGTCTGTGCCGCGGAAACGGCAGGGAGGAGGGGATCATGATAAAGTGAGTTTCTGCTGTTATGTCATTGTCTGGGCTCGAAATTAACGACGCATACTGCCAGGGAATGACCAAATTCTTCAAAGTTACACTCGAGACCCTCCTTCGACAAATGGAGTTCAATACCAGTCTTACTTCAGGCGCCAACAACGAAGCTGTACGGCCCGTGCTCCTCGCATCCCCCGGGTTTGTCGCCGCTGGCTTCCAAAAATACATCCAATCCGAGGCATCAACAACGACTCCTGGGCTCAAGCGACTTCTTCCCAGTCTTGTGGTTGTGCACTCCACATCGGGGTACACGAATTCCTTATCGGAGGTTCTCCAGTCACCCGCCGTTAAGAGTCTCCTGGCTGATACTAAGTATGCCCGTGAAACAAAATTGATGGACGACTTCCTAGAACAACTGCGCAAGGAGACCAACAAAGCAACCTATGGCCCCCGCGAGGTTGACTACGCGGTTGAACAAGGTGCTGTCGGCCGAGGTGGCGGCGTGCTCATTGTTTCGAATCGCTTGTTCCGATCACAGGATATCGCTGAGCGTAAACGTTGGGTGGCGCTTGTGGACCGCGTCCGCGATGTAGAGGGCGGTGATGTGCGAATTCTCAGCTCAGATCATGAAAGTGGAAAGCGTCTCGAGGGGCTGGGTGGCATCGCTGCGCTTTTGACATTCCCTGTTATTGAGCCAGATCTTGACTCGGATGCAGAATAGACTGGTGACTAAACGGGCCATTCAGAATAAAAAGATCTATTATAACATATGGCATAATCAACGCATGAGAACCTTGGAAGATGTTGTATACAGCCACCTCTAGAGCAGACCGTAAAATCCAGCAAGTGCAAAGCAAAGCAAAGCCACACGCTGCAGCAATGAATTCGATCAGGGTAGTCGATTGTCTGTGGAGCACTAACTCACATACGCCTCATGTGATGTGGGGTGGCCTTCCAAGGTACAACACTTCGAACCTTGGAAACAGACTAAATCATAACCTAAATAGGACATCATGAAATACAGGTTGAAATGAGCAGGTCCCACGAACCAGCCACAACTAGCTTTTAACATGTCTGTGGTCATTGTAGTATGCTTTATGCCCGCTAACCAAATGACAAAATTCGAAATAATGTTGGAGTATCGCTTCAAAATGACGCAGAGGTGTTATTCCATTGCGCGATTCAACCCATGTTCTCTGCCTATTTACGTAGACAATCCATCAAAAGAACTGATTTAAAGTCTTGGAAATGTCCATCGGTCCCCGCTCTTTCATGACTGCTCGCTTGGCAGGACGATCTCCCCTTTCGGGTGGTTCAGTCCTCTTCTTATCTCTTGCACGTCGCTTCTCGATATCAAGCTTTTGCTTCACAGGATCTCGAGTGAACAATACGATTGACTTGGCATTATAGCGAGAGCGGACAACAATCTTGTCTCTTCTGCTGTGGTCCACAGTTGGTAGTTTGAATTCCAAAATCGGGAGATTCGTTGGTAAGGATGATGGTCTTTTCGAATGCTCGTCTCCGGGTGTTTGGAGACTAGCCTGGTACACATGAAACAAGGCCAAGAGATTATCGTCGATTGTTTTTGATGTTCCGTGAGTTTCCCAATACCAATCGAGTCTGCAGGCCGACCATCCCTTTATGGGAATGATGTTATTCGCGGGCCTATCGTATTTTTGAATCGTCTCTGTGATATTCTTACACTCGTACGCCACAATAAGCTGGAGCTCCGGTAGCTCACGTAGAGCTTCCACTGCCGCAACGGTTATTTCGCGTTGATGGTAGAACCTGAGAATACGGAGGTGCTGTAGTGCTTCGGGCTCAATCCAACCACGCACAAATCCATCTTGCAAGTCGTTGCTAACGCCCACTGGATCCAGCGGGGGGAATTCGACACATATTTCTCACGGTAAACGTCCAAGGCAACCAAATTCTTGATGTTTGGTATAGTGGTGAGGTCTGAGGCGGTACAGTACATGGTTGCAATTGTCAGGATTGCACGCCAGCGAAGGTCATCGCTATTGAGAATACCCATGTAGTCTCTCAGTGGCTTTTTGGGACAGCCAGCATTGAGGCAGTAGTAAGGACTAATCTCATAGAATTGTACAGGATAATTGCTGGCCATTATTTTCCACATGTGCATTGTCTGCTTGTTGCTGTGTAGATGGTCAGTTCTGAACAAGCAGACTCGAGAATCTGTGGAAGTAGTTTAAAAAACTCCCCAATGATGACTTACTACTTTTTGAGAGCATCCCACAGGTATTTTGCCAAATACCAGTGAACGTATTCAAACAGCTCAGGCTTTAGCGCCGACTGGTCCCGTAGCAGAGCTTTCATTGCTGCATGTTTGAGTGATCCAGATCCTCGATCAATGGTTGTCTCCAATCCATAGGGTAAAAAAGGAATCTCATGGTACCATGTGGGACCGAAACGGAGCACCGCAGGGGGGTGGTTGTCTTCAAGGATGATGGACATCACGGAACGGAACCATGGCCAGAACTAGCATGGATTCAGTGATAAATTGCAGTGTAGGTTTCTAGCAGTGTCCATGGATTAGATTATGGCGAAGGCTGGTGTCTTCCCAAAATCAGACATCGAATGTTGAGGTTGAACGCGTGGTTGGAGTCGAAGCGCGACTGGTTTGATACATGCACGTGACCCTGTCTTATAGACCATTGTAGATCCACAGGTTTTTAGGCAAGCGGCATTTTAGTTTACCCCATCAAATTCTCGCAACCTTCGAAGGAATTTCCCTTGCTTTCTTCGGCTCCTTACCTCAGCCATATTACACCATGGTTAATGCCTGTCCTACCTTTCTAGCTAAGCATCCTGCTTATCTCCGTTACGTTCGTGAAGTTGCTTCTGGGAACTTGTGATGCCGAAATATGAAAGGGTAGGTGACTGCATTCAAGTGATACTTGATGAGTGATTATCTAGAGGAATTATACAAGGGGCTGACCAATATGATATACAACATAGGATGAGGATGACCGTGTGATTATCCACGTTGGCGAGCAATATTGTCGTTATCCAGGGTGCAGTGTCAGCAATGTGAGATAACCAGACCCTAAACGCATAATACATGCTTGCTTATAGATTATCACCTACGGAGGGATGCTTGGCTTACTGTTCTTAGCATCCTTCCCTGACTGGAAACTTGAAGAAGCATGTTACCTGCCACAGTGAAGATTTGCAAGTGGCCGATGGTATTATCGGTCGGATCAGTTATATTGAACAAGAGAAAGTTCGAGGTAAGCTGAATAGTGTGACTTCGCAAATACGTATCTAATCGACGAAATATCTAGCTTGGTACAATTCTCTTTTTGCTTCGGTCCCTGATCGGGCCCCGGCCTCAACCTTCCCCTCGGTCACGAATTCCAATCGCACTTCCAATCGCACTTCCAGCCAAAAGACCGATCGCAATGTCAATTGAAATGTCGATCACGATGGATGAAGATGCCGGGTATAACAATTCATAGGTGCTCAAAGGGTGGATCGATGTGAGTAGCTATAATACAATGCATTCTTAAAACTTTCATAACGTCTTAATAACGTCTTAATATTATCTTAATAATACTTTACTAATGTATTATAAATTTTCCAAAGAACAAACACCGTCATCTCCCAACGCATGCAAATTCACTCCTTCACCCACCTGCCTTTTGCATTTTATACAATTGTATAGACCGGGTGGGGCGAAAAGTGGACTAAGCTATTATTAACACGTTATTCTATTCGTCCGTCCTTTTACCTCCCGCACCTTAAATGAAAGTCGCTTTGGTTTTTTCCCTCGGTTTATCTTGTACAACAGGCATAAATCTCAGACTTTGGCCTTGAATCAGCCGCCGACAGCCATTTTCGGCGCCCAATTACCGTCAACCAGCGTTAGTGCACCCATAAGTGAGATGAATTTGCTGCATATCTCTTTCGTTCATATAATAGAATCAAACCCCAATTTTCTTTATCCGTTCATTTATATTCATGAGATTAGGGGTTGGTGCAGAGAAAGGAAACAACTAGGGCATTTACATAGATATGCTGACGCGAGCAATCTAAACAAAGGCCCTTGTCCAAGACATCATCCTCCTATCAAAGTTATATTACAGAGCTCTTCCCTGTCTGAGATTCTTCCTTCACCAAAAATTTGATCCATCGCCTACTTTCTTATTGTCAATTCTCATGCTAAAAACACTAGTCTTCCATGTTCCCTTCTCCTGGTGCACTTTCAACTCTCGCCAACGCTAGGAGAGGTTTGAGTCTTTGCCAACTGTGCGACCCGGGCTATATATACATATATAGATCTCGTGCCCCACCATATACCTATATTCACAAGGACAAGACCCGGTTTGGGATGCGCTATATAGCGGATGCACCAGATGGTAGGTTGTATAGCACCCAAGACCACTGCCGAACATGATCATAGGACAACAGCAAAAGCAATGCGATTTGCCCCTCGGGAATCTCGATGATAGTTGGAATGTCAGAGTTGATTGGTTGCTTAGTGGGTGGGCTCTGTGATATATCCGACAAAACCAGGGTCAAGACTTGTGACGAGGAGTTCATTCTCTGGCGAGTGGTTTGTTCCTTATCTAACTTGAGTCTGTTTTTACCTAGTGCGTATTTAACCAACCTCTAAGACCGAAGTAGCATATGTCTGACCGCTCTAGTCTACAGCTACCATGTCCAACTCAAATCCCCGTGAGAGCAGCCCAGAGTCTCCTAGCACGACGATGCCTTGAGCACGTCACAACAAACCCCTACCGCATCGTCTACCACCCAGCCAAGTCTTATCATTCCCACTCTGTCTACCACCGCTATATATATAGTACAGGCACACCAGAAGCAACTCGTCGATTATCAGCATTCGGTCGATGGATCCAAAGCTACATGTTATACCACCAATGTCACGGTGTCACCCCGTGCTTCCTCCAGAACAGAGAACATTTTGTGTGGCGAACACGGAGTTCCTACCGCCATTGCACCGACAACTATCTGGCTTGCTTCCAAGTACGATGTCACCTATGCCCAGCATCGCCTCTCCCACCCCGGAGCAAAAGTCCAACCAACGAAACGGGCGAAGCAGGCTTCGAAAGGGGAACACCCAGCGATGGGGTCCCCAGGAGATTTACGGATGGGAAGCGGATCGTTCTCAAAGCCAACCGGCTTCACCCCGCCCGGGGACTTCTTCCTCACCCTGGTAACGGTATCAACTCGGCGCTCTGCTCCCTACCTACTTCCGACAGGTCAAGAGCGAAGCACGTGGAAACCCGAAAGAAGCTGTGGATGGTGGAGTTATATTCAATCGAAGTGACACGACAGCTGGCGGGAAAAAGTGTGACCATCACGGACTGCGAACGAAAACCCCGAGATGCTAGAGTCGAACTCTACTATACGGGAGGCCCAACACGGTTCGTCACAGAACCGACGCGATTACTGCCAGAGAGATCGCACTAGCTAGGACATTCACCATCGTGTTTGCCCTTATACACCGTGCGCTTTCGACCACTTTCTCAATATAACCGCTGGTACTAATTGCTATGACTAGAGGAGAGAATATACTTAACGGTAGGAAGGCCTATAGGCCTTCTGCTTCCGCTATCAGAAAGCATATTCTGAATATGCATTGTGTGAGTGGTACCGTATACTACTCTTTATGACTAGTAATTAGCGATATTATAGGGCCACGATGGATAACTGGGGATTGTACTGCCTAGGCGACTGGCAAATCAGAGTCATTTTGTAGGGATAACCATGTAACTAGTTAGTCATTGGTTACTATTAGTAATGACAGTAGTAATGAATCATCCTGATTTATAGCAACTTAAATCCGCCCTATCTCCAGGGCTTCCATGTACACATTCCTCAACTCCGTTCACTTCTGCGTGCATAGCGACTCTGTGCACGGATTTTATACCCCTTCCAGTAGAGCAAGTAAGGCACAGGCAAAAAAAACAACGAAACCCCACCCCAGAGAGTCAACGTCCATTCAATGCCAAGCTCCTTATACATAATCTCCGCAACTATAGCCATAGCGCCAGCAGCAACGAGCCGCAGCATCTGAAGGGAGGCAAGCGCACTTGCAGAATATGACTCGTACGAATCAGCGACGTACTGGTACGCCGAGACGAAGATACACAACGACCCGAATCCAAAGAACCCCGAAGCGACGAGCGGGCTCCAGTACGAGACTCCATGTTTGGCCGTCCAGCCCATCCAGAATAGCGATATTGGGACAGCAGGCGCACCGAACATACCCATGTACAGACTGATCTCCGGATCCGGGCGCTGTTCGCCATTCGCACGGCTGTGGTAGATGTCTCTACGGACCAGCCACATTGAAATGGGTACTGCCAGTATAGAAAGAAGGACCCCGACCTCAATGGCCAGGAATGCGACGTCGGTAGCGGCCGGGCTGAAGCCGCCTTGTCATCTCATAGATGGAGACAAAGCCCGCGATGAAGGTGTACAGTATCATGAAGAGGAGGGCGACGTAGATCGAGTGGATCATGATAATTGGTTCTGTTGCAAGAAGCTCAAGTGGCCGGTATAACGAGGTAGACATACGTTGGGCGAACGTGGATTTTCTGAACTCTATAGGAGACCGGTAGCGGTCGTCGCCTGTTAGGCGGCGGAGCTCTTTTGCTTTCCAGTACAGCAGGATCGGGCTGTACGTCTCGGGCAAGAAGAGCACAACCGGTATCAGGAGGACTCCTGCGAAGATTATGGTCATCCAGTCTACCCAGCGCCAGCTTACCGCGTCAGAACTGACAGCGAATGCTCCTGGTGTTGGTGCCACCAATGGACCCGTGAAGATGAATACCGCAAATATCGGGAAGGTGTAGACTCGTTCAATGCGTGACCAGACATCCACCAGGGATGCTGCTGATACAATCGCCGGGGCAGACCCGAAGAGTCCAGCTAGACCGCGGCAGACGACTCGCTGCACCACTGTTTCGGAAAGCCCTGCGCCCATGTTGAACAAAATAAACCCGATGATGGTAGGAATGTACACGGGGTTGCGTCCGAAGAGTTCTGATATAGGTGCTGTTATCAATGCGCCTACTCCACAACCAATCAGAAACATAGCTGGATGATCTCGGTTAGTCTCGTTGAAACGATTCAAAGTGTTAACCACGTACCAGTAGGCAAAGTCTCGACCTCAAAGGTGGTATGATAAAATTGCTTGGTTGTCATGAGAGCAGTGGAATCGATCGTGGATGACCAGAAGACCACACATCCAGTAAGTGAAGTGAGAATAGTCGTAAACAGTCGACATTTGAATGACCAGTTGTGAGGATCCATCATGTCACACTCGCCTTCAAATGTGACGATAATGAGTTCGTTCTTTTCCAATGACTCGATATCAGTTTCACTACCCGTACTGTCACACGGCCGGGGTCTTTCAACGCCAGTCACCATAATATCAGGCGTGTTTCCCAGCGTCTCTTGTGTATTGATGGTATGGGGATCGGTTGAGAGTACCGGGTCGTACTCCGAGCCCTCGATATCCCCTTCCCGCTCTATATGTGATCGGACTGAATGGCGAGGATTGAGGGATGGCCCAGATATAAAAGTGCGATGGCCATGCTCCCTCCTTCGTGCGGCAGCCGGGTCATCATTCGGCTCGCGAGGTTTTGTGTGGATCTCTCCTCCGCGGTACTCGTAGCGGCCCTCGTGAGTCCAGACATTGTTGGGCTTCTCATGCTTTGTAACAATTTGGTGTTGAAGCTTCCTGCGCAGAACGCGGTGCTGGCGAATTGACTGCATTGTGCTTGATTCGGGTCCTGCGTTTCTGGTCTGATCCGCCCTTGTTATATTGAATGTTAAGATCAGTTGGGGGCATGAATTTCCGCGCGGGCTCCTAGGGGGCAAAATTGACATATGACGGTCCCCTGAGGATATGAGATCCGTAAAGCGCCACCATCCATATCACTCGGTCAGCTCTCCCGCCAATGATGGATCCCATCATATCGAGTTGAACATGTCTACATAGTTGATGAGAGCTTGTAGCCTTGATCTTCTCAAAATAACGAAGCTACCTGCAGTTTCCTGTAGTGAGAAGTATATGTGTTGGTGTGCAGATGCCCAGGGCAGTTGTCTACGATGATTCCAGACCGACGCTTAGCTAATCTGCACTCCATTTTCAACGCATAAGAAGGACTCATAAGGATTAATCACAAATAGTGCGCCACCCACAGGCAAAATATTCACTGGAACACCGAGGGTGGAATTACATACATGGCAATTCATTAAACACGAAAGGATGCTTCATTGAAAGCCAGACAAGCATCGTCCCTTATCTTCATTTCCAAGTCCATTTACATCACATAAAGGATGTCCGTATCTGTAGGGGAGGTCAGAATTGATTGCGGTCAAGTAATCCGAGACTCGTACCTAAAGGGTGGCTGCAGCTTAGCTGTGGCTTCTGGGAATATTTGGTCGCAAGCTCGTCACGAATGCTGTTCAAAAGCTGGACATAACTCTGCTGAGGGTTCTTTCGAAGCGCCGCGATGAAAGCCCATGACATGGCACCAGTAGCCTGGCCGGCAATCTGGGCATCCTGACTAGTCTGGTCGTCCTTGCTGCCGGACCACATGATGACATCCGCGGGGCTAGTCTTAGTCTGCTTGTTGCGTTCATACACTTCATCACCCTGGGTGGCCTTCTTTATGAAGCCCATGGCGGTGGACACCATGCTGCCCATGTCACCACGTGCGTATGCCGACACCACACCAAGCAGGCCTTGTCCAGCCTCCTTGGCCAAGTTGGGCTCCTTGAGCACACCAGAGGTGGAGTAGACGTAGGGAAGATCGAGAGCGGAGCCAGAGTGGCAGGAGTCGAAGATCGCTGTAAGCCGGACTCCCGGTTGTAGAGTCTGCACCATGATACGGTGCATCTCATCATCAACGATGTGGCCTGCAACCCGGAAGTCCACCGGGTAGATAACTTCATCGTACCCATCTTCTTCATCGCCATCCAAGTCGGGTGTCTGACCGCCATGACCTGAGTTCTTATTAGTTCACCGCCATAGTAGCGATGGAGGCATGTTACTCACCAGAGTAGTGGAAGAACAACGAGTCATTGGGACGCGCATCCTTCACCAGCCAGTGCATAGCCCGAAGTATGTTTGCCTTGGTCGGCTGGCTCATCGGATTTTGCTGGTCATCAGTCAGGAGCACCATGTCCTCGCGAGCATAGCCGAAGTTTTGGTTCAAGTAGGCCGACATGTTCTTGACGTCGTTGATACAGCCGCGCAATTGACCTTTCTGGCCGAAGTAATTGATACCAATCAGCAAGGCCTTTCTCTTTCCTGTACAGCGGGAATATTGGAAGCTATAGCCTTGGGGAGCGCCATGACCGAAGGCGACGGGGTTGCTGGGAGGGGGAAGCGGACCGCCGGCCTGACCGTAGGCTTAATTTCCGCCTGATTAGCTTTCACTGCTGGCGATGTGGTTTCAAGCTGGGAAATGGTAGGCATACCTGGTCTTCCTTGGATTGATTGCCCAGGGTGCTGGTTGGCGTGCTGGTTGTACCCAGACGGCGGAGCCTAGGGAGGATTGATACATGTCAATCTCGTGTATATTCAAGGCAAAACTCATCATAACATACATTGTAGCCTTGCTGAGGAGGAGGCGCGCCGTAGGACTGGGATGGCTGGGGCGAATGGCTGTAACCATACGGGTTGGATTGCTGCGGCGGCGGCGGCTGATGCTGCTGGTGGTAGGACTGGCCGGGATAGCCGCCATAAGAGGGCTGCTGCTGATTCATCTGTCTGCAATCAAATCCTTGTCAGACTGTCGGGTAGGTTCTCAATAGAGCAAAGGGATAAACGTACGGGTACTGCTGTTGCGGGGGATATGACGGCTGCTGCGGGGGGTATCCCGGCGCGCCCGAGTACGGTGGATAGTAAGACATCAGAGAAATTCCCCAAGTCCACCTAGGGAATCAAGCGAAATGTGAAGATGTAGAGGAGAGAACGCGATGTTGAATGTGGAGAAGAAGATCCAAGACAGAACAGATCGGAAGTACGGCAGCCGCCAAGCCAAGCCTTGAAGAGAGCAAGATAAATTCTGAAAAGGAAAATGTAAAATATCCAAAGAATGAGATCAAGTAGAAAGCGTCCGAACGGTTCGGGGATTTGTAGAGTCCAGAGATAATTTGGCGGGGATCGTCTAGAAACTCGCCACTTACAAAGAGGTTCGGCGTCCACTATTTCCTTATAAGGCTGTTTCGGATAGGCACTAGACACTGAGACAACCAAAAAAGAAACAGAAAACAGAGAAAAGGAGGGGAAGATAGAAAAGAAAAGAAGAAAAAAAATAAACAAATCGACACGACATAATCCGAACTAACTTTTATATCTGACATGGGTTCATCGGCAGCTCCGATCAACCCCTGGAAGCCCAAGACCCTCGGTCATTGGGCCTCACTTACTTTATTGAAGGTTTGTTGTTGTACTTGTTCGGATCATTTTGTAACAGTACCTACGGAGTAGTAGCAAAGCACACACATAACTAGCTAACTAACTAGATCATACACACGATGGTTATACAAAGTAGATCCCCTTTCTGCACGTCATACAGCTGAAGGAGATTCAATAGCACTGTCTTGGCGCCGAAAATGGGCCAATGGGATGTAAAACGGGTGAAAGTGTTTGGAATATAGCTACCTAGACAGAGATTCTAAATAAAATACGGGATAGCACGGGGTACAGCGTACGGACTACCCCGTGGATATTATTAGGATCCGTATAAGACCCCATCGTAGCGCGGACCGGCTCGGCTTTAAGAAAGTGTATCTGATACATCACCTGCAATTGATCAAGTCTGAGGGAATACATTCATGAGGACTATGTTTATATTGTATGTACCTGGAAAGACTGTGTGGTTAACTCGGATCATCTCTAGCAACTCGTCTTCTATTCTCCCTGTACTTCATATTCAATATTCATCTCACAAACACCGGCTTTGGGCAGAGTTCGCTTCAACTGCTTGTGGCCCTCAATCATGCAGACGTCCTTCTTTTTTGGGGGGGAATATCATCGAGCATCATCCAATTTGGTCAAACTCGTTTATCCTCGTCGAGGCATGCCGCGGCCACGGCCCCGGAGGGCGCGCTGGGCAGCACCTGGCGGCATACCGCGCTGTTGACCAGGTTGAGCTGATTCCTCATTCTCTGTTGGAAAGAAAACATAGGTTAGTGGTGATTCCGAGGATGGAAAGCAAAGAGAAAGAACTTACTTATCGTCTCATCCACACTCAGGATCAAGCAAGAGGCCTCCACTGCGGCCTGGATAGCATTGACCTTGACCAGGCTGGGCTCCCAAACAAAGGCCAGCATATTGTCACGGACGCCCTCGTTGTCGAAGTCGACACCAGCCCAGGTGTTACCCTTGCGGTGCTCCACACGCAAGCGGTTCAGGATATCTGTAGCGTCGAAGCCAGCGTTATCACACAACTGGCGGGGAATAACCTCCAAAGCCTTGGCGAAGGCCTTGACGACGGCCTGTTGCTTGTGCGGGACGTTACGGTCGGCAAACCCGTGCATGTAGCTCGACAACTCCATTTCAGTAGCACCACCGCCAGCAACGATAGTTGTGTTACGCAGAGCACGCTTGACGATCATGATAGCATCGTGCAGACTACGCTCCACCTCCGCAATAAATTGCTCAGCGCCACCACGCAGCACAAGAGTGCAGGTCTTAGCGCGAGGGCAGTCGGAGAACAAGTTGAAACGCTCTCCACCAATCTGGCGCTCCTCGAAAGCGCCACAGGTACCTAGGTGGCGCTCCTGGATGTCAGTGCAGGTAGATTGGGTTGCGGCACCGGTAGCCTGGCAAACACGGTCCAAGTCGTCCGAGGCCACACGGCCAGCACAGAAGATGTCTCGGTCCGCGAAGAACCTGTAAATTGAATCATTAGTGTCTAGACACATGCCTCATAGTGAATAGCAAGCACGTACTGTGTGGCAAGATCGCCAATAGGCAGCTTGCTAAGCACGACCTTCGCTCCCGTCTTGTAGATAGCCTCAAGCTTGTTGAAGATGATCTGCCATTCAGCATCGACGATGGCCTGGTATTCCGAGACCTGTTCGACACGGACTTCCGCATTGTCCTTCTCACTCTTAAGCTCCAGCTCGACGTTCAAGCACACAATACCGGGGTTCTCGAAGTGTTTGGGCTGTTGCTCGAAACCGGCGTAAGAGAAAGTCTTCTTGAAGGCGACACCGTCGACGAAAAGCGAATCCTGGAGACCACCACCGGTAACCTTCTTGACACCGATCAACCTCTCGTTAAGGTCATCCTGGTCCAGCGAAAGTACCGCATCCACAACCACTATGATACCATCTCGTCAGCCTTGGGGCCAAAACTGCAACCACTAGGGACCCTTACTCTTTGTGAAGAACTCCGAATTCCGCTTGATAAGCTTGCTGTTCATGGCTGTTGCGGCTAACCGTCTTAGTGTTTCGACCTTCTTTTCGTGGCTGTCTGAAGCATCCATCATGTCCACTGCAATCTCCTTAATCTTGTTGACTGCCATGGCGCTCGATCTCCGCAGACCCTTAATGATGGTCTGCGAGCTGACACCCTGCTCAACGAGGTCTCGCACCTCCTTCAGAATCTCACCGGCTAGGACAACCACGGAGGTTGTTCCGTCACCGACTTCGGCATCCTGGGACCGAGCGATATCCGTGAGAATGCGGGCGGCGGGATGCACAATATCCAAAAGCTACCGAATACACGCAAGTCAGAATCGCCAACTTCCTCCGATCACAGATTGGCATCAATAGCAAGACGCACCTTCATCACTGTGGCTCCATCGTTTGTAATGGTCTGTTTGCCATTGGCATCCACAAGCAGGAGATCACCACCATAAGGACCGAGAGTGCTCTTGACTGTTCCTTGCACTGCGACACAAGCGTTGATATTGGAGATAACCTGACCCTTTCCCTGAGAAGCATCGGTGCCTATAGATTGTAAAGGAACAGTAGTTAGCATAGGTTACAGAATCCCACCAACAAAACTGCCCGCACTGGAAACAGCACGTACCCTCTTTCAACACGACAATCGTGGGGGTTTGGCCGTTGAAGGCCATGATTAAATCGGTATTAGGACACGAAACCGTTCAATAAAAAAATAAATGAAATAAGAAAAGGGGTATGATGAGTTGAAAGGTCGGAGGGGTTGATCTGCCAAAATTTCCCAGAGCTTCTGTTCCCCAAAAGCCCCCCCCAGTCGCGCAAGGCGGTGACCAATCAAGGCTCCTCGACCCTACGCATTTGAAGAGATGTACAGAATTTACGTCCATGGATTGAATATGGAGTTTCTAAAATATGGATAGAGATATCATTTTGAATAATATACCCAATAAGAAGCATACCGTAGCATAGAGCGCGCTTCACTGTCCACGGCACAATGGTGGAGTGTCAGCGGTATCTCAGACGGATGGCTTCCAAGGTCGGCAATAGAACAAAAGAGGAGAGAGGTAGAAAAATTTAAGTTAAGACAAAGAAAACCCGAAATGGAATAACGCCCTCCGAATGGGAAACCGAGATAAAAGTTGAGGCTTGTTCACGTAAAGTCATAATTTCCGTCTGAAGGACTTCCATACTCGAACTTGGCGAGTAATTCAGCATCATGCTGTAACTCGTGTGAGGGTGGGTTTACAAGTCCAAGCACATCTTGTCTAAAGGGATCCGAGCCGTCATCTACCATCATTTGATATGCATTGCTGGCTGTATGGTAGCGCATTGCGTCGTCAAAGCTTGACATGCCGAGATTGTGTGGGTTTGGGGCGAACTGTCCTGTCATAGAGTTATGTTGTTGGTAGCGTCGTAGCTGTTGGTGTAGTTGCATGATTTGAGGATCAAGAGGCATGGGTGCGAACCCAGCCATGGGGTGGACTGTGTCGGGCATAGCTGCAGGAATGGGTTGGTGCATAAGAGGGTTGTAATTGGGAGGCTCATCGGGTGCTTCGTCCATCTCCTGCGGGACATTGACGGGGTCCTTCGGGGGCTGCTCCATTGTACTATCCATATCCATGCCAGACACTGTTTCCGACGGCGATTTATCATCATCTTTGGTCCCTGGTATGGGGGGCACCTTGAGAGTCTCTTTGCATTGGGGACAGTCTCGAATCACGCGATTGACGGTCTCTTTGATTCGCACCCAATGGTATTTGATCGCAATAGCTGCTGTGGTTTTGTTGATTCCAGCATGATGCTTGAGATGAACTTCTTGGGCGATATCGTACTGCTGCTGCGGGTCTGACACAACCTCCTTATCCTTGAGCATCAGTTTCTCGGGCTCCCCATCCTCGCCACCAAGAAGTTTATAATGAGTCGCCGCACTGCGAAGGCGACTCTTCTCGGCCCGGTCAGCACCACGAGGGTACTTCCCGTGCTTCAAATAATACCGGATTTTCTCAAAACGATCCTGAGACACAGAATCCTCGCCATCCAAACTGAGGCCTCTACCGTAGATGATCGCATCGACGAACTCTCCAGGTTGTGATTTGATACTGCCTCCACCGGGGACTCGGCCAATCCGTTTAAAGCCAAGGGAATCCCACAGGCGACATGATGCAACGTTGGACTCATATACCAAGTTGAAGACCGCATATGTATATCCCTAGCAAATATTAATTCATAGCCCCTTTGAAGCGATCGTGGTGAATAACTCACTAGTCGAGGTGACCACTCTAGATAGGATTCACCCATCAATCTACCCACGCCCTTGTTTCGAGCAGCATCGGTGACGATGAAAGTGCCATTGCAGACATGACTACTACGGCCGGGGTAATTAGGTCGAATATGAAAACCACCTAGACAGATCTTGGTCCAGTTCGCTCCAGCACGGTCCATCGCATGTGTCTGCTCTGCACTCTCGATGTCGCCAATAAGCATGACCACACCAAAGTTCGAAAACCAATATCGTCCGAACTGAGCCAATGGGATGGGCTCGGTCATAGCATATGTATCTCCCTTTTCAATCTCTTTGTTGAATTGGTCAGAGAGATACTTCATTAGAGCCCGCGGTACTTCCTCTGCTGATGTGAAAGGCACCAGGGTCGCAACCGTAACCCGATCTCGCAAAGTTACTTGTCGCGGAGCCAAAGCAAGCGGATAATCTAGATCAGGGCCCGATGGAACGAGCTCTGAATCTCCATGAACTTCAGACATGGTAAGGTGAACCTCTGGGGGAGGTTGTTAATCACACGACTATTTGACATGTTAGTGGGATACATTCTATTCCAAAGTATCTTTGCATAGGTGAGTACAAGAATAACAAGTAACAAGGAAGCCTCGGCTACAAGGAAGTGGAATCAACAAGGGGTCTGTTCACTGACATATTCTGGACTGCTTCTAGAAGCCCTCGATCGCACTTCGAGGACCGCGTGAGTATTCTCGAGTCCGGAATGGCCGCAACGCAAGTCGAGAAGTCGTGGTCACTTGCTGACTCAGTTTCATGCTTAGTAAGCCGACATCTCGGCTCTGGGGTATTCATGCCTGATTTTTCGGGCGTGTTGCGGCAAAACTAGTTAGTTACGTAGAATATACTTCAAGTCTCTGCCAATCACTGTGGACTCTGCGAATGGCAGAGGAAGAAGTGAGAATTAGGGCAAAGACCGGCTATCCCCTGCCTGTTGCTAGTAGTTGCTTTATTCAGTGACGTCATGTATCCATAGTCTTGGATAAAGGGCCATGATTCTTATAGATAGCCAGAAGCGAGAGAAACATTATAAAGTAAGAAGAGTCGGAGTCCTGAGACCAATGGTCTATCCCAAAAGGCAGCCGTAGTCTGTAGAACCAACTAACTATGTGGCTGAGTCGGGCAACTACCTAGGCACCTCTACGTAGTGTTTTTCCTCTGCCGGGTGGGCTTGCATATCTTGGCTGCCGCCGCTTTTATGAGGGCGCTCGGAGTCACGCTCACTGAGTAGATCTCAGTCCGGGCTCAAGGTGTTTGATTACTCAGAGATTTGTCAAAGGCATCTATTGTGCACTCAGTCACCCGGCCGGGCTATTGCCCCTTCTGCTTGTGGGACAGCGTCAAAGGCTGAATAGAAACAGGGCAAGCGCATTGCATGTTTTTCAGAAGTCAAAAACCAGATCTTAGTTGCGGTTCAATGTAATATTGCGAGTATAGGTTTGGAACTTATTAAAGGCAGCTATACAGAGTACAGCAAAACTATAGCTCGCATAAGGCTCAATATTTAACTACTATACAGAGTTTGAGTTATCAGCGCATGACCAAGGAGAAGACCCGCCATCCTCGCTATAGGACTTAACGATATTAACAGCAGCTCCGTAAGTACCGGCTATTGTGAGGAATGTACCGGAAAGTATCACAATCAGAGCCCAAGCCACCCCAAGCGCCCACTTGAAAGATGGTTTGGCCTTGCCACTATGCCAATTATCATACAGCCACATGCACCCGTATGGCTGAAAAGAGATAAGGGTTCCAAGAAGAGCTCCGACTAGGGAAACAAGGCTGTCAAATACAGGGATCGCACTAGCGATAACATAAGCCACCAGTGTAACGCCTAGTGTGCAGCCAAGCCACGTCCCCCAGTGGATAAAACTGTTGGAAGTAAGGTGCTGTGTCCCTCTTAAGAGACGGATGAAGAAGAACTTTGCTGATATCTTTATCATTTGTTAGCTCAAATCCGTATTAATCGAGGGCATCTACTCACATGCGAGGTGATAGTAATACTAACTAACAGCCCAGGTAGAGCGATACCATAGGAAATCCGCTTCACGGTTCCACCAGCAGAACCAAGAGCGGGCGAGGCCACATATGATCCGCAGTAGTAGTAAACCATACAGCCGATCAGGATGTAAACACCACTCACTCCGCCCTGTGCAATGAACAGAGATCGATTATAGCGACGGGGGTCGCGCATTTCTGCAATAATATTGAAGAATGCAGGAGTACCGCAGTAGGCCAGGACCATAGTAGATACTGCCGAGACCGCATCGGTGAAACTGGGATTGTTGACAATCTTGTAATCTGAGATCCAGACACCATCCTGAGGGGCAGCGGCGGGGCGCTCCTGTACAGCAACAGCAATGGTCACAATGAGGACTTGGAGAAATTAGAAGAAAGTTCTCGTTGGGGTTGGCTAAGGTTAGAGGCTTACTAGCGGTGAGAAACGTTGACAGTCCAACCCACGCGAGCCAGGAGATGCGTCCAAGAGTGCAAATACTCGAACAGAAAAATCCGATTATGGCAGCCACAACAACGAAAACAGCAGTACACGCTCCGTGATTGCTGATGGAATTTAGTCCAATTGAAACCCCGAGCATCCCAGACCCTGTCACAAATATCCAGTCTATAAAAAATGGATTGGTCAGCCTGCCATCGAGTCCCCTTCGTAGTCCCCAATTCCCCACTAGTACTCACATAAACAGAACGTAAGTCCGCAGAACTCCCGACCTATGCGGCCAAACATCAAGGCACCCGCATCGTCCAGCCCGTAAACCTGGGGATGACGGGCGCTTGAAATCACCAACCATGTAATCTGACCAAGTAGTAATGGCCCCGACAGCACATAGGCAGATAACTCCTGGAACAATACCCAGTTTATCGAACGCGGCCGGAATAGCGAGGACACCAAGACCAATTTGTGTTTTCATCATGATCACATTCGATCCGATCCACCCAACTGACCAGCGTTAGCAGATACAAGCTTTTTTGACTTCATGTCTCCATACATTTCGGTAGTTTGGCCCTGCCTCTGTGATATCACCGAAAACAGAATCATGGCTAGCCATTTCAGACTGACCATGCTCAGTCATTGGTTGTTCGTGATCTTCCTTGTTGGACAGTTTCATCTCTGTGGATGACACGTGGGACATGGTAATGGAAAGGTGTTAGATGGGGAAGTTGGTATCCTTCTGCAAGGCCAAAGAAGGTCCCGAAGCAAGGGGAAGGAAGCTTAAATACTGCACTTGAGTGCTTACTCGCCTTACTAGGACTCTGATTAGAGAAATAATCCATGTTATCTGTCTTATCTCCCATTGAGGATCAGACTCGCAGGGACAGGCCGAGCTGCATCTGGAGAACCCAGGCCAAGTGTCCCACATTTCCCCGGATAGCATACCCCCGTTCCGGTAGGTGTCCTCCCCTTCCGTGAAGTGGGAATTTGCCGGCCAACAAGCTGTTGGCGATTGGTCAGGCACAACGGGCCGCCGAGATCCCCCCTCGCAGAGAGGATGACTAGATGAACGCCGATGTCGACCGCGCCGGTTCAAAAAATGGATCCGGATATCCGACCCGGGACAAGATCAGTGCTCGCGGACACCATCTGGTCGCGTGCATTCTTTCCATAAACAATGTTGTGCCAGAAGATGGCATGTCACGAGACTATAGCGGTTTTAAGTGAAGTGCGAAGGGACAGCATCTCTGATATCTCTTAGCGGGGGTAAGCAGGTACAAGAGATACATCACGAGTGTGCCATTATTGGGGTACCGGATCATGGCTAACGGTGGTTCGAGCATCATCGTATCGGGAAAGCCGTGTACCGGCTTACCATACTTTGATAAAACACCCCATCGGGCAATGCTCGGTGGTGATCTGGCTCCGCCAACGACGACAGTGTCCATTTCGATAGAAATATTCGATGCCTACATATAACCTAATGGAAGACGCGTTCATTTTCCAAGCCAAGTACATTCTCCAGTCTCATTCATGATATATGAACAAAACGCGAATACATTTCCCATATCACGCGGCCGCCTGGCTTTTGGATAGAAATCTATCGTCGTTCGGATACGAACTGACTGCATGATGGAATAGAGGGCTGGGCTGAGATGGCACCGCTTGGGAGCGATTACTTTCCGAGCTTCTTCGGTGGCGAGCTGGCAGCACTTAAAGAGCCAGGGCCTGCGATACTGGGCCTAGATACACGAGCACCCGCGGCGGTGAGTGTGACCATGGATCGCACCCTTAATTTCGGGCAAGGCGGCTCAGGCTGTCATTGATATGGCTTGCTGGGATATTTTGGGTAAGAAAGTAGGCATTCCGAGTTCGCCTTTCCACAGCGGACCCTTTGAAGGGCAGAAGGCCCGTAGCCCCTTCTGCATTGTTGGTCTAAAAGACCAAGAGACCGGATTCGAAAAAGGATTCAAGGCAATGCAGCTGTCAGCCCTGTCGAAAGGCCAAAGAAAAATGTGAAGGCGGCTCACCCTGCCATCGCTGCGTACGGGTTCAAAATGAATGTGTTTTTCAGGCGAACAGGGGTGCTGGGAAACAGAATGAAATGAACAGAAAAAGGCAGGTTTTCAGCAAGGTGATGTTGCTAATGCGTGCTGATACCATTGCAGTCCCTGTCTTTGTGTCCATATTGATGTAGCGGAAAGAGAACGGGTGCGCTGCATGGAGATTCTGCTTCAGCGCCACATGCCTGGCATAACAGTTGACCTTGAAACATTAAAGGACATGGTCAAGAATGTCCATCGCCCACGTGAAATTAATATGGACTCACCGAGATATCATGGTCAGGAAGTACCAGAAAAAGCAGCTTGTATGATTACGAATGTTCCTGGCACCACAACACGTGAGTAGATCTATCTTTCATTGAGCCCTGGGCTCCTGAAAGTTGAACACATCGTATGCTGACTGGAATAAATTTGCAGAATATGCAGGGGAATTGTCTTTTGATTATTTCTCGGTCAAGATCCAGCAAGTCATCAATAACTCCTTACGGACAATCCCCGTTAAGGTAAGTATTTTACTATTCAGTTAATGGGCAACAACCTGACGTCAAAAGGAGCACGAATCCCGAAGTCTTTTTGGAGATCAATGGGGTGCGCAAACTTTGTCCACTGACCCGGCTCTTGCCTTCTCATGTCTGAACTGTCTTCCACCAGCCGAAGTTGCCATGTTCCTCATACAGACCTTTTTTAAGTACGCGCAGACAAACGAGTTCTATGTCGAGGAGACCTACCTAATCAATATTTTAAATACATACTACCAGGGGCGCGCTGACGCCCTGTACGCCCAGCCCAGCTCAATATGTGTTATCCTGATGACATTGGCAATCGGCACTCGATTTGCGCATATGCATTGTCCCACAAAGGCCCAACCAAACTTAGCCGAGGCATTCGGTGGCCACGAGAGAGGACTGTCCAGCTTTTCAGAAGACCAGCTAGGGTTGGCCTTCTATCGCTCTGCGTCCAAGCTTCTTCCCATGCTTTTGGCCGCACCGTCTCTCCGTAGTGTGCAGGCTTGTCTTTTAACAGGAACCTACTTTCTACACTTGGATCCATCGGGGCTCTCATACACATATTTCGGCATTGCACTAAGAATGGCGATCCAGATTGGGATGCATAGGCGATACCAGGGGAATGATTTGGAGAGTGAAGCCATGGAAGTCCGGAACCGGGTATTCTGGACAGCCTATTCCTTGGAGAGGTAGTGCCATTCCCAACAGTGTGATCCAATAATATCTGACTCATACTTAGACGTCTCGGTATTATACATGGCAAACCTCCATCACTAAGTCCCGCAGAGATTGATACATCCATGCCCGTCGATATTCCATACCTCCGATCTCAAGAAAGTTTGCCGAGCGTTAACAACATGGTGATGTCTATCTCCCTGACATCCAGTTTGGTCGACTTTGCAAATGAGCTGTATGTGACAACGATTGAGACCCTATCAATGCAGCTTTACTAACAGTATCTAGGGCTTTATTGGATAATGTATCTCTTGCCAATGCGCGAAAACAGCACATAGATAATCTGATGGCAAAACGCGCGTCATTTATACAATGGTGGGATTCGCACCATGTGCCTTTACCTTCAAAAGACCCAAATCTTCCGAATCATGGTGATCGTAATAATTTTTATCTACATTTGGATTATTGTTTGATAAGGATGTTTGTTGGCTGGCGTTTCCTCCTGAGCAACATCTCTCGCAGCCTGGGAGCACTCCCGGCTACAACGCGCATTACGAAGACAGTCTCCTCAATGATGCGATCGAATCATTCAGTCAGGATGGTTTATCGTCCGATCCATTGCTTAGCCTATGGACATCACTATTGCCCCAACACCCTGCCCATGACAACGTCTAAGTGTTCCTTTTTCTTCCTCGCATTCTTGCTTCTTTTCATTTATTCTTTCTGGGGGTTGCAGCACACCCTGGGTTGCCTTCCCTTTCTTTGAGTTTGCTGGAAATACTACATACCTTGCCGTGCCGTCTAATTGCTGCTCTCGGGGCAGATGACGTATCTGATTCAAGAATTCGCAGTAGGATAAAGAGCGTGCTGGAGAAAGAGATGCAGATGGAGCTTGAGCCGGAAGGACGAACCCCGGCTGGAACTCTTCCCCACAGTGGGGCGGGTACATGCACCCGGTGCTGGGGATAGCCGGGGAGTCTGGATTCGCTTCGGATCTCCGCCAGAGTCATCCTGTGCTTCTCAGCAGAGAGCACGGGAAACCCCATTTAGCTGGTAATACTCTTGCCTGGATCTTAAACCCCCTCCCTCCACTACCAACATTGATAAGCAAAAAAAGCTCTTGTGTCACTCGAGGTGCTCTCCGCAAAGAATATCACGCTTGGTTCTATTCCTCATCATACCGTTCCTTATCTTTGCAATAATGGCAAAGGACCCGTCGCACAATGAATTTGTATTTCATGGGACAGCATATGTCGAGGGGGAGACTTTTGGTGAGCTTCTTTCAAGCAGGGAGGAGTTGAGTTTCTGGGGCGGAGTAAATCCAGAAACTGGGGAGATTGTCGACCGTCACCACGAACTGAGCGGGCGACATCTTCAGCATCATATCCTTGCTATCCCTAGTGGCCGCGGCTCATGCTCCGCCAGCGGGGTAATGCTAGAGCTCCTTCGGAATGGCAAGGGTCCTAACGCGATCTTGTTCGAGCGACGCGAAGACATCCTGACGCTGGGTGTCATGATCGCTGAAGAGATTTTCAACATGACTATTCCTATAGTGAGACTCCAGCCAGATGACTTCCGCCAGCTTGTTGGACTCGGTGGCTTGAGGGTGCAAGTTCTCGGTGGATGTGTGAAGATTGGTGAGCTTAGCGGCGCTGGTGATAGCTGCTCACCATGTGTCGGCAGGAGCCGATCCAGCATACATGCGGGCTCCGTGAACCTTTCAGAAATCGACCAGGCTTTTCTTGAAGGTATCTATGGGGAGGCTGCGCGCGTCTCGATGCGAATCATTCTACGGATGGCAAATTTGCTGGAGGCCAAGGAGTTGATGGATGTCTCGCAAGTCCATGTCGATGGCTGCGTCTACACAGGGCCGGCTGCACTGGCTGTTGCAGAGCAGCTTCGAGACTGGGGTGGCAAAGTCCGGGTGCCAACATCCCTCAACTCTATATCCATCGATCTGAAGCGCTGGCGTACGCAAGCAATCGATGCTGTCTTCGCAGGCAACGCCGAATCTCTGGCACAGGCGTACATAGATATGGGTGCCAGCCCTACCTTCACATGTGCACCATACCAGTTAGAAACTGCACCAAAATTTGGGGAGCAGGTGGCATGGGCGGAGTCTAACGCTGTTGTCTACGCCAATAGCGTGCTGGGGGCAAGGACAATGAAATACCCTGATTTCCTCGACATAGCTATTGCTTTGACAGGTCGCGCGCCGAAGGGCGGGTGTCATATTGATGCCAATCGACTTGCTTCCCTCGTTGTTACCATTCCAGGTATTGAGAATACCCGGTACATCGACGACTCCTTTTACCCACTACTCGGTTACCATGTGGGATGCCTGGCCGCAAGCCATATTCCTGTCATTGTGGGGATTTCATCCCTCGCACCAAATAAGGACAATTTGAAGGCCTTCGGGGCAGCATTTGCAACATTGTCCAGCGCACCAATGTTCCACATTCTAGGGGTTACGCCCGAGGCCACAACACTCAATGCTGTTCTCAGCAAAGAGCCGGATGTCCAAACTATCACAGTCAACCTCAACGAGCTGAGCTTCTGCTGGGAACAACTGAATAGTGCGTCTAACACTCAAGATGTGGGGTTGATATCTCTTGGCAATCCGCACTTCTCGCTCCAGGAGGTGAGGAAACTCGCCGAACTCTGTCGGGGTCGCAAAAAAGAGACACCGTCACAGTGATCGTGACATGTGGCCGAGCTTGCTACGGACTAGCTTCCCAGGCTGGGCTTATTGGGGCGTTGGAGGAATTTGGCGTTCAGTTTGTTACTGATACATGTTGGTGTATGATTGGGGAGCCCACAATCCTGCCATCAGCGAACGCTATCATGACAAACTCTGCCAAATATGCGCATTATGGACCTGGCCTAACGGGAAGGGAGTTTTTGTTTGGCAGCCTTGCCCAGTGCGTCAATGCGGCGTGTGAAAGGGACTCTTTACGGAGTAAACCATCATGGCTACAATAGTCGCACACAGAAGTTCAGAGTAGTCTGCCATATCTTGAACTGTGGATACGCGGATTGTGACTATCTTCTTGTAGGTTAGCTAGGCGGCTGCTAGTGATCATCATCTTTGGCTCGGAGTGTTGTTTTGAACGTGTCGCATTAGATAAAGTGTTTAATCCCCTCCATGAAATGAGGCAATCTGCTCTGTACTAACATTAAAAAACTACCATTAGCGTAGAGTATCTGGCCCAAAACACATGACATTTTTTTGACACTTTAAAAAATCTATTGTCGACCAGAAATAACGCACTTCCGTACGTTCCTTACATCTGGTAGTGTATTAGTAGTCAGCAGCCACTTGTCGCGATTATGTAAACATACACCAAGATATTAACTAACGTAATTCACATACGAGCCGCCACCACATACGACCCGCCACCCCATTCAATAATCTAGTTTTTAAATACATTTATCTCAACCATAACGCCATTAAATTAAATCAACTAACTAAGTGGTCTATCTGGACATGTTTCTCTTCTATGCCCTGGCAATCTGCATATTCCACACCCCCGGGGGGGGCGCGTACGTGGTTGAATAGTCGATTCTCTAGGCATGCCGGGGCCGGGGGGAGGTACTTCAATTGCTTCTTATTGCTGTATAATTAATGCAGATGCTTCTTAAACAGAGAGGCCTTCTTCGGCGGGTATCTGCCTTCTAGATCGGGTCCGTTTTTGCTTTTTCTTCTCATTTTCATCCCGTAACTCCTTATTTTCTTTCGCTAGTAGAATAGCGTTATGTATTGTAACTTGGCAGCCTTTAATAAGTTGGTTTAATGTACGTTTAGAAGGACTTGTTAGGCTTCGAGATTGTATATAAAGTAAAGTATTAATTGACGAAGCCTATTGATATAGATCTTTCCCGGTAGCAGGGGTTTTTGGTATAAAATTCCGGCTTAAGTCACTACCCCGGCTTAGAGGGGGGATAGGTATTCGAAGCTAGATATTTAGCTTCAAAAGTACCCGATTGGGTAAAAAGGGTACTAAACCGGCTGCTAAGAAGCTATTTTTAATCGTTTCTAATTTAAAAGCTTTAATTTATACAGTAGGGTATACTTTAAGAAAGTCGAGTTTATTAATATAGTTAATCCTGCGCTGTATTTTCGTTTTAACCAACTAACTATATATACGTTTTGAGACTATAAAACAGCTGATATTAAGTGGTTATAAAAGGTAAGAGGAATACGGTGGTATATAAATTGGTATAATATCGTTTTACTTGCAAATTTCATTGAATTTTAGTATTAAATGGCTTCTATAGCTGTTAAGTATTAAAAGTTGATACCTTCCTACTATATATAATAAAGTCGATGGTATAAAGAGTTTCTAAAGCCAGCGAAGTCTAATTTTATTAGAAGTCTAACTATTTAGACTAATTTTAAAACGCTAATTATCTAGAAGGCCGTTAAACCAAGATTTAATAAAGACTTTGCCTTTAAAAATCATATATAGAGGAAGTGCCTACCCTACCGTATTTATATATTTAATCATAGTTACCTACTCGCGATTTCTAGGTTATAAAAGTGATCTCCGACTATAGTATTTACTTCTAGTTATAACCTTTACCGTTATAGTTAATCCTATAGTAAAACCTGTCTTATCAAAGTTATAAATATCGTCCGGATCGATTCTATACTAAAGAATGGTTTTTTGAACTAGATTAAACCACTCTCTAATAATCCTTAGGTCTTCATATTTCGCGCGCTCGTAATTATAACGTCTTGAGAATCGGGATATAAGGGTAGGGTACTGTTTAACAAAATATATAACCTAATTTTAGCTAACTGAAATAACCGGGGTGGTTCTATATTATTTAAGAAGAAGATCCGCTATTTCTCGTACCATAGAGGGCCGGGGGGCCGATCCATAAGAATCCATAGAGATTATCTATTTTCGAAGAGATTCCTCTTCAATTGCAGTCAATTTAGTCAAGTTAGCGCGAGAAGTCGCGCGTTGTTATATACCACTGAGGCGGTCCCGAAGGGTTGAACGCGGTACGTTAAAAGTGCGGGCGGTAGTAGAAATATTGGAAAATTCTTGATTCTTAAAAGCCTGGATAGCTAATAAGATCCTACCCTCTTTCTCTATTGAATCTTTAGAGGATTGAGAGCGTTTTGGTGGCATGGTGGGTGGTTGAATTAACTAGGTGCTAATTCATGGACGCGTTTTTGGATGGGGTGGCGGGTCGTATGTGGTGGCGGCTCGTATGTGAATTACGTTAGTTAGTTAGTTAGTTAACTAGTTAGTTAGATCTCGGAGGAGAACCCTCCTTTTCACAATTACACTCATTTTACCCTTTGGTCCAGTATCCTACTGCTCGTACCATACAAAACAGCCTCTCTTTTGTTCAACATCTATGTATTGCACTCTCCCTACATGACCACTGATACCACACCCCGAATTTCATCATCATCCTAAGACACATCTACAATTGTTCCTCATCATGACCTAGAATCTTACTTATCTCCACCGGGCATTAGGCAGTATTGAGAAGCCCGTGAAATCGTCACTGAGAAATCAAATGAGAATTTTCCTTTGAAACCAGTTCAAGGGTAAATTGATTTAACAAAAGCGTTCCTGTTCTAGCAAGCAAGGATAAAATAGTTACTTCAACTTCGTCTTTACGGCGACCAAACTGTTCATACCTGAGTGCCTAGGAGGCGCATCTGTATTCAGTTTTACTACTAGCAACGGTGTTTTGTCAAATACTGTCATACTCCCTTTTAGTAAAAAATTCTGCAGTATGAAGCTGGAATGTCGAGGGGCAGCGGGTCGAATACGGCCTTTTGGTTGTCTGATGGGGCTAGCGTGGTGCATTTTATTGAGGTGAGCTGCTGACTTAGGAGTCATCCAGCTTATGTAACGATCAGGTGATGCTCAGTGACGGCCGTCAGCTGAGCGAATGTTGAGATGGGACGGCCAATTTTTAGCGCCTCTTGGCACAGAGGAATATGTATTAATCCGAGTTCCGAGAGCTCAGCGAACGTCAGACATCAGCGAATATCAGGATTCTTTTTAATCTAGCATAACAGCTTCTGACCTAATGACTAATTATCCCATAAAGATAATACTGTAAATAAAGATTACGGGGTCTTTATGAACGTCTATTATAAGCTCTGAAGACATCCTAGCGTAAAGAGAGATCTCGACATTCGCCAAGACCGCTCTGAGCAGATGGTCGAAAAGCGGATTAACACGGATTAATATATTTTCCTTCACGCTAAATTAGCGGTCCCATTTCAACATTCGATCAGCTGTAAGCCCGCTCAGTGAGCGAGCCCGTTGATTATTTAATATTCAGGGGCGTGCTCAGTTTTACTCGGTGAGCGAAAAGCGGCAAGGCCTAAGCACTAAAACAGAAAGGGAAAGCCAAGAAGTGGCAGAGGAAATCAACTATAGGTACTCATGGGGCCAAACTCCCTCTCGCATTCCACCATCTTTCGTATAACCCACAATGCCTTTGATCGAAAGAAAGAGAAAATAATACAGCGATGGATATCATTCCTCCTTCTTACGAATCAGCAACAGACAGAGATGCTTGGACAATTATTGCTCGCTATATCCCTTCCAGCGACCTATGCGCTGCATCTTTAGTCTGCCACAGATGGCATGGTCTATTTATGCCCTTCCTCTGGGGTAATCCTGCATCTCACTTTGGTACAGATAATGATGCAGTCTATGGTAAGTAACCTTAGGAACAACAGCGATTGCTCAAAAGCAATACCTGATCGGATCATACAGTGGCTCTCACGCGATTCCGAAGAACACTCAAATATGCCCGGCTAGAGGTACGAGCGTTAACCCATACCCTTCATCTTCCACCCGCTCTCTCAGAGATATATGGTGGTCCGCGACCGGGCTGGTTGAGGGACATTCTCGAATGTTTGCCATGTCTTCAGTGTCTGATGGTCTCGAAGTTACCTTTCTTTGACCACCATGCCATGACAGCATTGAAACCCCATGAGAGGTCCAACCAGTATAATATAAGGTTATTGTTGGCTGAACGTGAGCCGAATACCACTTCCGCAAGCCTCGCAAATACTCTCCTCTTGTTTCCAGCATTGACCTACCTGGATCTTTCGTACACCACCCCAGCACGAGACCGCAATGTACTGTCTACGCTAGCTGAAATGCCGTTTCTCCGGATACTCAAATTGCGTGGTATCGGGCTGAAAGACAATGACGCCGAATTTCTAGCCAATGCGATTGGACAACGAGTCCGTTGTTTGGATTTGAGAGACAACATGCTCACTGACATGGCAATTCGATTCCTGCTACAGTCATCCTTCCTCCCGCCAGATGGAAGAGAAAGGCAAGAAAGTCCAAGGCAGGCCACGACTTCCCCAGATCCCTTCTCGCACTTTGCAATCAATGAGTCTGGCTCGGATTTCTTCAAGCGGCCAGACTTGGATGACCAGTTTGCGAAGCTACTCGCTCAGCCTGTTTTATTTCATCCATGGGTTGAAGACTTGCCGCATACGGGAATCACACATCTTTATATTACTGGCAATCAAATATCTCTGGAAGCTGTGGCGAGTCTTTTACTCTCGTCCCGGCTATATGCTCTCGATTTCGGGACCATAAAACCCCCGGATAAGGCACATCACACACATCATTATCGGAAGGAGAAATATTCGGGAGCTGAAAAGCTAGTCCCAATTTTGGGTAAGATTGCAGGGGACAATTTGATATATTTCCGAGCGCATCATGCTGTTCTCACAGGCCAATCACAAACTAAAGACGCTTCATCCAATGATAAGTTTCTTCCAGAGCTTTCAGCACAAGATAGCCCCCGCGAAGTCGAACAATTCGAGCTGGATACCTCCCAGCAGGTTTATGAGTTGCCCGAAGAGACAAGACCTGTCTTTGAACTTGCGGATACATCAACGACCGACTCAATTAGCTCATCTTCAATGACAAAAAGGTTGAAAGCATCCCAGGCATTGAAATCCTATGAGGACGAGCCTGGCCCATCGGTTAGGCGTGGATCAGCTTTTGCTCCGGAGGTCGTACAGCCAATCCCTATACACAGTAGCGCCAACGGAGGTACGGTCTTTAGTGCTAGGACAGATACATGGGATACAGACCAGGCCGAGGGAAGCACCTTGCCATCCATTTCAATGGCTTCAGACTGCGACAAGCTTGCGGCAGACTTCTCTCTCCAGGCAACCATGCAATGCAGCTCCCCAATCTCGCCGAACGATTCTCTCGCACGAACAGTACAGCAATTGTTGGCAAAGCGACCACGTAACCAATCAATCCCACTTCAAGGAGGAAGAGAAAGCTGGTTCCCTTACCTACACCCATCACATATTCCTCACATGGAATCTTTGGTGCTGACAGATGTACCATCACATGTGACGCCTAACTCTTCAATACTTTCTGCGCTCACTCGGTTCATTACTGCCTGCTCAAACGAAGCATTACTAGCAACTCTACAAGCAGGATCAGACTACTCCCTCCCACCAGGGCAAGCACGTATGCAAGCCGAGCAGCGGCGCTCGCGATCTCTCTTTGGCTTGCGGCGTCTAGTTCTTGAAATTACACCTGTTGATACCTCCAAGCTGACATCATGGAAACCTGGGAACCAATATAATGCCACAGGGCATTCAAGCACTGGTGACCGCGACTCGGAGAATCTTTGGTCTGCAGCCGCCAATGATTTCAGCTTCTTCGGTGAAGAAGAGTGTGGAGTCCCCGAAAATGACACTGGCAAATACTTTCCCATGGCTGTGCTGAACGAAAAGGTCTCGCTTATGCCATCGGAGAATGCCTCGTTACCTTCACCCGATTCTTCTTCGTTGCAATCACCTGATTCTTCTCGACTCGGGCGTCACCATCCACAAAGTGCTAAGACCCCTGGTCCACCAGGAGCTACTAGAGATAGAAAGCAACAGTGCCAGGTCCCGATGATTGACCTTGTAGCAGAGCTTGCGACCTTTCGTCGCCGCAAAAAGGCCGAGTATGAGCAGGTGGTTCGTCGTGAGAGAAGGCGGCGAAACACGGTTGGCACGGGTGCTTCCGGCATGAATAGCCTACTCATGCCATCATCACCCCATATTGCTCTCTCACATTATGTCGAAGGCCATTGGAAGGGAGAGGTGAAGGTCGTGCGGGGCCCAATGCCGAAGGTGCGGACCGGAACGGTTGATATGTATGGAAACTATTTTGAGAAGGGGTACCTGTACCCATAAATTTTTGTACTTGGCAGATACCCAGCAATACTACATAGCTACTCAGGATAATTGACGTCTACGTCACGCGATCATGATTTGTAGGAATTTTTGATATTTTCTGAGTCCTCCCTTGGACTTGAACCATCCTTCCTCCCAGTCATAACAAGCCGTCGTCAACGGGCTCATAAACGTCACAATGCTAAAGAGACATCCAATTTGCCTTCGTCGCACAATTGGTGCCGTCTTTTTCATCCTCAGTGTAGAAGCATGGCCGGCAGTTTTGGGACCGAGCATCACCCCTGCGATCCGGTTGAGAAGAACACCAATGCGAAGAGTGAAGACAAAATAAAAGAATTCATTTCAAACTAGTTCCATTTTATTTTGTTCGTCGTGCGACATTCATCTCCTTACAAAGCCTTGGCGGCAGTAGGGGGCTGGAGCTTCTTGCCGTCCTTGTTGAAGCGAATACGGGGAGGGGGAGCACGGTTGCGGCGGCCTTCGCGGGAGCGAACACTGTTAACGAGTAATTAGTACGTGGAATGCGACTAGGTATCGAGGGAGGGCAATCGGTGGAAACGTACCGGACAATCTTGCCGTGAATGGCGCAGGACACACAGTACTGGAGCTTCAAGTACATCTTGGGGACAGCGTACTCGGCGAAGACGGAAGCCTCGGAGATATCACCTGTGTAAAGCGAGAACAGTTAGTTGCACTGCTTCATCTGACAGTCCTCGAATGGTTTGTAGCCATAGATCTTGAGATCTTGTCGTATATTCGAGATATCGGGAGAGTTGTCACGTACGAATGGCAGCAGACTCGACCATATTGCGGATGGTGAAGCGCTTGATGGCCTTGTCCTTGGGGGTGCAGCGAGCGCAGTTGGAGCAACGCACAGGCTTAACGTGGCCGCGGCCATTCTTGTTGCGGCCGCTATCAAATCAATTAGTTACCGTGCCCCTTAGGTTGCGAATCAATCGAGATCCAGTCTCCCATTCTTCTTGTCCGGCAATGTGCGTAGGTCGCGATTTTCGATGTATTTAGAGATGTATGTCGTGTGCGCTTCCGTCGGCGTCATTGCGGAGATGTCGAATGGGATACTGTTTCGCCGAGATGGGGGATTGTTGGTCTTACTTGTTCGCCCTCTTCTTGACCATTTTGACGGTTTGTTCTGTGGATGGTTAGGTATTGGTCTGTGGATGAAAAGGGGGGGGTAGATAGCGCACAGTTGACTTGTCGGGAGTGGGTTGTCGAAGCTCGCTCACACAAAGTCTCTTTCGGGATGGATTGGATTCCGTTGTGCGGGTAGCCCTAAGCCCTTAAGCGAGATGGGTCACGGGGCTGGTGCCTCAAATCTCAGGCGATAATATATCGGGATCACGTGGGTCGCATGGATCATGTGTAAAAGGTCACGAGCAGTATTTTCGCCTAATTCAGACTAGCGTCCGGATCGTACCGTGTCACTCCGTGTTTATGGTTCCTCCAACCCCGACTGACGAAGGAACACCCCTGTTTGGGATCGACTATTGAACTGCCCATTTTTCTTCTCCTTCCTAGGAATTCTCCTTGCATTTTCTCCCATACCAGTCTCACAACTTGACATCCTTGTTCTGTTTGTGTCATCTCCTTTCTCTCTATTTTTTACTGAGACTTTCCCCTTTCGGCATTATTATGTCGGCCACAGGTACTTTTCGGGGGAAACCCAATCAGACGATCGGGAGAGGAAGGCTGCCCGATTTCGCGAGCGATCCTAGCGCTTCCCACATCCCCCGACCCCCCAGGCCAGAATCCTCTGTTATAAGCACAACAGCCACTAGCGACGTCGGGACTCCCACTAGCACTGGCACTGGCACAATGAGCGCCGCAAGTAGCAGACAGCGACAGAACCAGTCAAAACGTGATGAGGTACGTTATGGCAGCTAGCGGGAGTGATCTCCTGATGGTCAATTTGAGCCTCGGCTTTTAGCTAATCTCGACACAAGGCCATCCGCCGCAAAATGGAGGCCGACCTCAGCAAAAAAAGGAATACTCCGGCAAAATCGAGGAGCTCCCGCAAAGCGCCTCCTGGTACGGTACTCGCCCTGAAGCCCAGCCAGGCCCTCCAGATCAAGCCCACCATGAGTATCGCAGAGGCCGCCCAGCTTATGGCCGCGAAGAGAGAGGACTGTGTGTTGGTCACCGACGATAATGAGCGCATCTCGGGTATTTTCACTGCCAAGGATCTGGCGTTCCGAGTCGTCGGAATGGGCCTGAAGGCGCGAGACGTCTCTGTCGCTGAGATCATGACCAAGAACCCGCTGTGCGCGAGAACGGACACCAGCGCTACCGACGCCCTCGATCTTATGGTGCGGAAGGGATTCAGACATTTGCCAGTCATGGATGAGAATCAGGATATCTCTGGTGTTTTGGATATTACCAAGTGCTTCTACGATGCTATGGAAAAATTGGAGCGCGCATACAGTTCGTCTCGCAAGCTGTACGATGCGCTGGAAGGTGTGCAGACAGAGCTTGGCTCCAGTCAGCCCCAGCAGGTTATCCAATATGTGGAGGCATTGCGATGCAAGATGTCCGGTCCGACTCTTGAGACGGTCTTGGATGGCTTGCCGCCGGTCACTGTCTCGGTCCGCACCACCGTCAAGGACGCTGCGGCTCTGATGAAGGAAAACCACACTACTGCTCTGCTAGTCCAGGACCAAGGCTCGATCACTGGTATCTTCACTAGCAAGGATATCGTTCTTCGCGTTATTGCTCCTGGTCTTGATCCCTCCACTTGCAGTGTTGTCCGTGTCATGACTCCTCACCCTGATTTCGCCCCGTCGGATATGAGCATCCAAGCCGCACTTCGCAAGATGCATGGTCAGTCATTTCAGTCAGCGGTTCAAACCGAAGCATGCTAACTCTACAACAGATGGCCACTATCTCAACCTGCCCGTGATGAACGAGGGTGGTGAAATTGTTGGCATGGTGGATGTGTTGAAGCTTACATATGCCACTCTTGAACAGGTATGTTTGAAAGTTACAGATCTGACATGCAAAAATTTTGACTAATGTGTTCAGATCAACACCATGTCAACCCAAGATGACGAGGGCCCCGCGTGGAACAAATTTTGGTTATCAATGGATCACGAGTCAGACTCTATGGTCTCTGGCGGCCACAGCCAGCAACTGAATACCCCACACCGCTCCGTTATCAGTCCCGACCTCACTCGCTCAGGCTACGACAACAGTCTTCTTCCCAACGACTCAGCATCGCACCACGGTGATGATCATTCCGCTGTTTCTCAGCACTACCCAATAGAACCAGCCGCTCCTACACCATTCCCCTTCAAGTTCAAGGCCCCTGGTGGTCGAGTGCACCGTGTGAACGTCCTTACCACCAGCGGCATTACCGACCTTGTGTTGCAAGTCACGGCGAAACTTGGCAAGGAAGTCGAGGATGTTGGTGGCGAGGCTACTGTTGAGGAGGGTCGGCTGAGCCACACTGGATATGCCCTCAGCTATATGGACAACGAAGGCGATACCGTCTCCATCACCACGGACCAGGATATGACGGATGCCATCGATCTGGCCCGCCGCACTCACCGCGACAAGGTCAATTTATTCGTCCACGACCCCGCCCAGGCACCTAACACTGTGTTTGAACCTCATCATGTCAAGATTGTGACTCCTATGGAAGAGCAAAGCTCTGCTGAGGAACCTACATCACAAGACTCCCCAGTGAGCAAGGCCCTACCCCAGCCACAAGTCGTGCCCTTGCACGCGCCAGAGGAGCAATATATTGCCGGTGTCCCCAACGACTTGCTGCTGCCCGGTGCTATTGTCACATTGGCTGCGGTTATTGTGGGTGTGTTCATTCTCAGCCGCCCCGGTCACCGGTAAAAATACTTGGCATTCCCGAAACCCTCTTTCTTCAAAAACTCCTCTTTCTCTCCATCACCTTGGATATCAAGCAACCTGAGATAGCGTAGTAGATTCTTTTCCTGTCCGGAGTGTTGCATACCCGTTTTGTTTTCTAATATCGATATTCCGTGTCGCGTTCAGATACCGCTGTTCGTATGAGCAGTTGCGGCGTTACCCAGGTAGTTTAGCCTTCAATGCAAATAATTGTTCGAGATCGACTTTGAAATAACGATTTGTATGTACAAATAAGTAAGTTGTTTGAGGTCTTCATAGTTGTGTCTGTTCGATCTTCGTTGGCCTTGTGGCCTTAAATTACCGCATTTGGCTTAGCTCCAGATACGATTATGGACTTTTGTAGGTTGTCCTTGGATTTTCGTGCAGTTAATTTGCAATCTTTGTCGAGAAGCACCCGGTTCTAAGACCTCGACATCCTCAGTCGAATCTCCTTCCCTCTTGTTGTGTTATTCGACTGGCACTACCGTTCTTCTTCACTTCCAAGGACCTATCCATCAGAAATTCTTCTTTTTTCCCTCTCTCCCCGCCCCACCAAAAACAAAACTCCTCCCCTTCGTTCCACCCCTCTATCCCCACCAAATTACTTCTACGAGGGTTGAAAGAACTGGGTTGCTTGGATCGTCTGGAACTTGGGAACAGACACGCCCAACATGTCCCTCCTACCTCCCGAAGTCCACACCGCGCTTTCTCAGCTGCTCCGCGGCTTGAGCACGCCCGACAATGTCGTCAGATCCCAGGCGGAAGACCAGCTTAACAATGACTGGGTTCTGAACCGACCAGATGTCCTCTTGATGGGATTGGCGGAACAGCTTGGGGGTGCAGAGGACACAATAGTAAGTTGCACTGGACTACAGGGGTGTGGCTGCTTCGAAGGAGTGGTGTTGCAAACGATCGACGACCAGACCAGCAGCCGAACTTCAATATGATTTGGGATTAATAACTAATGGGAGACCCTTAATGACAGATGCGTGCTTTCGCCGCTGTGCTTTTCCGAAGAATCGCGACAAAAACCCGGAAGGATCCCGCCACAAATGACAGCAGGGAGATTTTCTCGAGCCTACCCAACGAGCAGCGAATCGCCATCCGCGAGAAATTGGTGATCTGTCTGACCAGTGAGACCGTCACCGATGTACGCAAGAAGATTGGAGACACACTCGCTGAGGTGGCGAGGCAATACACCGATAATGGTATGCGATTCGAACAACCCTTGACAAAATGAGGACTCTTGGTTCTGACGATTTTACCTGTGATTGTAGACGAACAGTGGCCCGAACTCCTCGGTGTTCTCTTCCAGGCAAGCCAAAGCCCTGACTCGGGCCTGCGGGAAACCGCATACCGTGTGTTCACGACCACCCCCGGTATCATTGAGCAGCAGCACGAAGACGCTGTTGTGGCGGTTTTTACCAAGGGTTTCAAGGACGATAATATTTCCGTATGTCGACATCTGGATATGCCCTTCGAACTCAATTTTGACCATTTCATCAGGTGCGAATTTCCGCTATGGAAGCCTTCGCTTCGTTGTTCCGATCAATCTCCAGAAAGTCCCAGCCCAAATTCTTCGGCCTCATGCCAGACCTTCTCAACATCCTTCCTCCTCTCAAGGAGTCCTCTGAGAGCGAGGAACTGTCTTCGGCACTCCAAGCCTTGATCGAATTGGCTGAAATCTGCCCAAAGATGTTCAAGGTCATGTTCAACAACTTAGTTAAGTTCAGCATTAGTGTCATTGGCGACAAGGAGCTCAGTGACCAGGTGCGCCAGAACGCACTCGAATTGATGGCCACCTTTGCCGATTACGCCCCAAATATGTGCAGGAAGGAGCCGGAATTCGCACAGGAAATGGTCACACAATGTCTGAGTCTGATGACTGATGTCGGTGCGGATGACGACGATGCGGAGGAATGGAACGCGTCTGAAGATGTAAGTGTTGGCATTTCTGTCGTTATAATTGACATGCCATTGACTAGTAACAGCTTGAGCCTGAAGAGAACGATCTCAACCACATCGCCGGTGAGCAGTGCATGGATCGTCTCGCCAACAAATTGGGTGGACAGGCCATCCTCCAGCCCGCATTCTCTTGGATTCCTCGCATGATGTCGTCTACCAACTGGCGCGACCGCCATGCTGCTTTGATGGCCATCTCCGCCATCTCTGAAGGTTGTCGCGACCTGATGGTCGGTGAACTCGACCAAGTCCTAGCACTTGTTGTTCCTGCCCTCCAAGACCCTCACCCCCGAGTCCGGTATGCAGGCTGCAATGCTCTTGGTCAGATGAGTACCGACTTTGCCGGTACCATGCAGGAGAAGTATCACGAGATTGTCCTCACTCACATCATTCCCGTTCTTGCCTCTACCGAGCCGCGTGTGCAGTCCCACGCTGCCGCTGCTCTTGTCAATTTCTGCGAGGAGGCGGAGCGCAGCACCTTGGAGCCATACCTCGGAAACCTTCTCAGCCATCTCCTGGATCTCTTGCGCAGCCCTAAGCGTTATCTGCAGGAGCAGGCGCTGTCCACTATTGCCACTATTGCTGATTCCGCCGAGGCCGCCTTCGACCAGTATTATACCACTTTGATGCCTCTTTTGCTCAATGTTCTCAAGGAGGAACAGGGTAAGGAGTACCGCCTTCTTCGTGCCAAGGCCATGGAGTGTGCTACTCTGATCGCACTGGCCGTTGGTAAGGAGAAGATGGGTCAAGATGCCCTGAACCTTGTGCAGATTCTCGGCCACATTCAGCAAAACATTGTCGACGCTGACGACCCACAGTCACAGTACCTCCTTCACTGTTGGGGCCGCATGTGCCGCGTCTTAGGCCGAGACTTCGTACCTTATCTCCCCGGCGTTATGCCGCCTCTTCTCACCGTGGCTGCTGCCAAGGCCGATATTCAGCTGCTGGATGATGAGGAACAGATCGAACAGGTTGAGCAGGATGATGGCTGGGAGCTAGTGCCACTCAAAGGCAAGATTATTGGTATCAAGACCAGTGCTCTTGAAGACAAGAATACCGCTATCGAATTGATCACGATCTATGCCCAAATTCTCGAGGAGAACTTCGAGCCCTACGTCCTGGAAACCATGGAGAAGATTGCAGTCCCTGGTCTTGCCTTTTTCTTCCATGACCCCGTTCGAGTGTCCGCTGCCAAGCTGATCCCCCAGCTCCTGAACTCTTACAAGAAGGCACACGGTGGCCAGTCGCCGGGCTTTGCCGAAATGTGGAACAAGGTTGCCGAGAAGATCATCGAGGTTCTGAGCGCTGAGCCGACGGTTGACACGCTGGCTGAGATGTACCAGTGCTTCTACGAGTCAGTAGAGGTAGTTGGCAGAAACTCCCTCACCCCCCAGCACTTGCAGGCGTTCATTGAATCGGCGAAGTCGACCCTTGAGGACTACCAGATGCGCGTGAAGCAACGTTTGGAGGAGCAGGCTGAGCTTGAAGATGGTGACGAGGAAAACCTGGACTTTGAGTACGCCGTGGAGGACGATCAAAACCTATTGAGCGATATGAACAAGGCGTTCCACACCATCTTTAAGAACCAGGGCAACACGTTCCTGCCGACCTGGCAACAATTGATTCCATTCTACGACGCTTTTATCACAAGCCAGGACCCGACTCAACGGCAGTGGGCTCTTTGCATCATGGATGACGTGCTCGAGTTCTGTGGTGAAGAGTCATGGGCATACAAGGATCATATCATGCAGCCTTTGGCTTCCGGTTTGCGGGATGAGAATGCCGCTAACCGTCAGGCAGCGGCGTACGGAGTAGGTGTGGCCGCACAGAAGGGTGGTGCCGCCTGGAGCGAATTCGTGGCAGCCAGCCTCCCCAGCTTGTTCCAGGTTACACAGCATGCGCAATCCCGCACAGAGGAGAATGTGTTCGCGACCGAGAATGCATCTGCCAGTATTGCCAAGATCCTGCACTACAACCCATCCAAGGTTCAGGCTCCTCAGGATGTCGTGGCCAACTGGATCGAGACTTTGCCCATTACCTACGACGAGGAGGCTGCTCCTTATGCCTATTCCTTCATTGCACAGTTGATTGACCAGTAAGTATTCTTGATGAACACCCCTCATACTCATGCTAATATCTTACTACCAGGCACAACCCGGCCGTCTTTGCCAAGGCTGACCGTGTCTTCGGTTTCATCGTTCAGGCACTCGAGGCCGCTACCCTGCAGGGCCAGACCGCTACCCGGGTGGCCACATCCGCCAAGCAGCTGGTGCAAGTAACCGGCGCAAATGCAGACCAGATTCTGGCTTCTGTGGACCCGGCTAGCCAGGAAAGAGTGCGCAAGTTCTTCCAATAAAGCTCAGATCCTTTTGTTTTATATCCGGCAGAGCTTTTTTCCCTTTTTTATCCTTTTCCAAATCATTCCCCTCGGTCATGTGAAATCTGAAGTTACCTGAACCCCCGACACGTTTCTTTTATTCTTAGTTCCTACGTACGAATGCCATGAGCTTTAGACGTTGGATTCCACAGTGTGCGCCATGTCTATGTAGATCAAATGTCGCCTTTGTTGTGTGGCTAACTAGTATGTAAAAAGTAAGATAATGTAAAAAATGAAAAAATGAAGACAAGCTATTTACAACTTCGATACCCTCTGGATCTCATTCGCAACCACATCCTTCAGGCTCATCACCTTCGGCTCCCCTATCAATCCGTTAGCCCGCTTCGCGTACAGTGTTCCGCCTTCACCCCAGATCCGACGCAAAGTCAACAGAGTAGCCGCCGGATTCCCAGCCTCCCACGCTGCAGCCTCCGCCTCGCGCAACTTTGCCAGCGAGGTGCGAGACACATCCCACGACTGACCATCAAGCTGGCGTTCGAATTCCGCCTGAATCTGGTCAGGGCTCGTAGTAAACGAATTAACGCACAAGGCAGCGTTCCGTGTCTCAGCCGTAGCATGAAGCAGAGTGTTCAGGACGAGAGTTCCAACGCTAGCGGAATAGTTAGCCAATATTCCATCCATCCCAACGAAACAAACACCAAAATAGTAAAGGGAAAGAAATCTTACTCTTTCATCGTCGTCAAACTAACCTCGCCCTTCCCCTTCTCGCCCAATAGAACTGCCCTTCGACCTTTAACATCCCACCCACCAGCCGCCTCCAACCCAGGCACGAGATTAAGATACATCTCCGCGAACGGCCCGGTAACTACATACGAATAGGCGAGGTCATCACGCGAGATCTTATCCTCGAGGTAAGCGCGCACTTTCAGCTTCTGCTGGTGCGGCTTCTCGTTCGCCGAAGCTGGCCCGTACTTGATATCCGTGCCGTATTCGGAGGGCAGGAACCATTTCACAGTGGGGCTGGCGGCTGCGAGTCTGATGAGAGAGATCTGTTGACCCAAAGCATTGCGGCCTAGGGCTGAAATCACGGTGTCGATTCCTGTTTGACTTAGTAGTTAGTCTTAGGTTTGGTGGTTTGGGCGGTTTGATAAGTAAGGGTACGAAGAGAGGATTTGCTACCTTCGTATGCTGCTTTCACGGCATTCTCATCTTCGACATTACCCACAATCACTTCTACGCCTTGCTCTTTCAGCTTGTTCAGTCGTGAGGCTTTGGTTTCGGCAGTGTGCGGGGAAGTGAAGATGGCGACGCGGCCGAATTGGGAGCGCTCGGGCAAGATGGCGTCCAGGATGAAGGAGCCAATGTTGCCCGTTGCGCCGAATAGAAGGATATTCTTAGCGAGAGACATAGTTGTATATATTTGCTGTGTCGACAGTGCAATCCTGGAGACGGAAATGGCGCAAGCTTATGTATAACGTGAAATGTGGGGGGTGGAGTCCTGCTTATCAATCAATTGAAAGAGGCTCCCAAGGTTCATATTTAATCTGTATTTTAGTTAGATATTGTAGAATAAAAGATACTCTGTATAATGCATTTAGGGAAATACCCAAGTGGTTAGGATGTCTACATGTCTCTAGTGTAGATATATAGAGCGTTGCCACCACCAAAACTAGGAATTGTGATTTAGAAACTTGAACAAAACTTGAATAAACGTATCCAAATGTGAAAGAGCATGTTATCTCGTTTTTAAACTACCATTTCCAAAATTTCCAGTACCTGGGATTTCTCCTTCAGTGGTACTGGGTTTGTCTTGCACCAACGGTCATGTAGGCTATTCTCCGCCAGTCCATCCAACTGATCCCGCCCTACTTTGACATCGCTCAAGGACCGAGGCATTCCTAATTTGCGGATGATAGCATCCAAAATATCGCCCAAGTCAGAGGCTTCCACGTTGACCGAGCGGGCACGTAGCACCTCTGACACGACCGGATCTTGAATCAAAAAATGGCTCACACTAGCTTGTTTTTCTCGGTTGGCGTTGTACTTACCATTGAACTTACACACAGCGGGTAGCAGGATACAACTGGTCTCACCGTGGCCGACACCCAGTGGACCAAGCTAGAGAACTGTTAGCCAAGCCCATTAATGCATTGTGGGTTCCCTATAAGGTAAATAAAGGAAAGCAATCGCATACCTGATGTCCAATCCCATGACTAGCACCCAATTCGATTGACCCACTAGTACAGGCTGCCATAGCATCCACTGATCCAAGTTGACACTGTAGGTGCGCCTCACGGTCTGATCGGTCATTCTTACAGCGCAAGAGACCAGGGACCAGCAATCCTAGCGCACCCCGAGCCAGTTTGTCTGATTCCGGAGTGGTACCTGATGTCGAACACAGATTTTCGATACAATGATCAATTGCGCGCACACCTGTACTGAGCCAGATTGAATTGGGAGTCGTTTTCGCCAGCTCCGGGTCGAGAATAACCAGCTCCGGTCCGCGAATTGGATTTTGGAAGCTGTATTTACGCTTTGAGCGGTCCTCGGTGCCGCCTGCAAAGTTTGAGTATTCGCCGGCGGAGAGAGATGTTGGCACGGAAATAATCGGGAGCGTTGGAGCTTTGATTCCCAATCGCTTTTTGGGGCCTTCTGCAAGTGTTTCGAGCTCTTCTGGTGTGCTGACTTGATTTGCAAGGACCTGAAGGGGATGTTAGGCTGATATTAAATAAATCTATAGGTCTTCCAGGGAATGATAAGAGGAGACAAGAAGACCACAAACAGAAACAGAATGAAGATATGAAAGAAAAAGATATACTAACTAATGCAATAATCTTGGCACCGTCAGTCAAGCTGCCAGCTCCAACGGTCAAGAGCAGATCAGCATGCACAGTCCTAACCTCTTCGGCAATCTGCAGCACCTCTGACCACAAAGTGTGGCTTCGCATACCAATCCAATGACCAACCAGCTTATCTGGCCCCAGAGCAGTCTCCAGTTGGTTCATTACATCGGTATTACGCGCCAATGACCCTGAGCAAATCACATATACACGGGAGGCCTGGAATATGTCATCAAGATGGCGTGCTGTCGCTGCGGGAAAGGCAAGGCCATAGGAAAGAAGTGGGCGCTCACGGCCTTCAAATGCAGGTCGAACTGTTTCCTCTGGCATTATGGCTTGGTCTTAGACAATCAGTGGGGTGGGTATGGGGTCAAAAGAAGCTACAGCAACATTACTAATTTATTAATTAACCTTGGGAACGAACGTCATATAGGAAAGTGCTCAGGTGGGGCTGCGGGGTCAGCCTTTATGGTTCGATTTATGCTTAAGCATAACTCGTCTTGTTTTTCTCCCAAGGTTACAGAAATCTGATTCAATATTAGCAATGCTATTTTTAAGAACACGATGTCTGAGGTCTTTGTTCCTTATGCCTAGAATCAAGGTGATTGGCCGTAAGCTGCACATACTCGCAATGAAGAGCAATGAAGAGCAAATTTGCCAAGTTTTTAATATACATGATCTGGATAACCTTTGCTTCGGCTTTTATACCTCATTGCTTGCCTGTGTTTCTGATATGAAGGATTTTCAGCATCCATCGAGCCCGTGTATCCCTCCTTCCATTGTATACTTGCACGACCCAGCCCCCGGCGTCGTTGCATTCTCTTGGTGGTATAGAACCACGTTATCAAAATCGATATTGTAGCATGGATGCACATTTGAGCATGAAACAGATGCCACATTCGTCGAAGTACTCTCAATATAACCCGTGAAATTTACAAACGCGACATTGGAAATGCTCATCAAACTTGTTCCCGAGTACGAGCCATTGTTTCCATTGTCCTGTTTGACAGTAGGTCCAGCGTTGGCTCCATGGACTTCGAAGTTTGAGAACAACACATTCCGAATGCTGCCCCAGCCACCACCGCGAGGGAGTCCAGCATTCTCATACGAGCTCTGCGGTACAGGTGCGCCGACCCACGTTTTGATATACGCGCTGTTGTGCATGTCATCGTTGTATCGGATCACCTTAACTGTATCGATGCGGATATTAGCCACGCTTGAGTCTTCCTGGTATTGGCCCAGACTGCCTATAGCAATCCCATTTCCACCACGACAGGTGACATTGTGGATATCGACATTGTAGGATCGTGGTTTAATCGCCACGCAGTCATCGCCACCTTGCTGAGCTGAACATTCTGCACGTCCATTGTGTCTATCCATAGTGTTAGTCGGCTGCGAGGAAACCGGAGTGGGTGGATATACCAAATCCGTCTGTATTCTGGACCCAGTTTTCGCCGTATGGTGCATCTACCGCAGTCGCATTGCAGTAGATGTTATTGAAGCGCATATTGGTTCCGTTCATGATATTTACGGCCCACAACTGGGGGTCTTTGACGTAGAAATTTTCGACACTGACATCGGATACATTCCAAAACACAAACGGCATTGGTCTACCGGGCTGTGTGTCGCCTTTATCGGCTGTGTACCATGTGTTCCCATTACCATCGATACCACCAGTGCCGTATCCATCGATCGTGATATTGTGACCCGTGATAATGAACCCAGCAGCGTGGTTTTGGAAGGCAACTGGATATGAGTGATTACGCCAGTAATCCAAATCGTTGGAGAACTAGCTCGTATTAGTTGCGTTATTATTGGATACAGTGACAGCCCACTTACTGTCCATTTCCCGCGCCATTCAATTGCTATATCGCTTACAACGGGGTTCAACCGAGTACCAATCCAGTAGGCTTGGTCCTCTGGAAATATGATAGTACCACCATTGCCACACCGTCGGAAGGCTTCTAGGATGTTAGGGACGTCATCTCTCTGGTACCCATTGGCTTTGACAATGCAGACATTCGAGCTGCGTTCTTCATTTGCATATACAAATGGTGACACCGTCAGCCATAGGGGTATGGCTAGGGAAGGAATGCCGAAGAATCGCATGGTGAGCTCGGATTGGACTGTTCAATTGGATATTTTTCTAATAATAAACAAGGTCTTATATTCCCTAGCTATAGAACCCCGCACATTGCTTGAATTTCCCATGTTGCACTCGGTGGGTCTTTATACCGAGCGGACATGGCAACATGACATTGCGGAGAAAATTGACTGCGAGAAAAGACTAGGTTTAATGGTTTATGCAGTAAAAACGTGATTTCGAAGTCTTATGAGTGCTTGTTACGCCGATCCTTGCCAAAGTCCTACAAGTCTTGACATCGTTTGCCCTGATTCTTCCACCAATCGCGAATATGGGGCAATTAACCTTCCCAATTCCACTATTTCACGGTCTAGCCATTTCTATATGTGCTATTCTCTGTATTCAACAAAAAATTGGTATGCTGTTACGATATGCGGTATCTATCTATTTCAACTCAACCACCAATGGCACAACCATGGTGCAGTGTGGCATTGATTCTTTGGTCTCTCTTCTCGCTATCTGTTGCGGACACTTGCTGGCGTGATACCTCTTGTTCTGGACCTACAAACACTGCATTCAGCGGGCCATGGGAAAAGAACATATACGCACCGGCGTCGCGAACAGTACGGCCAGTCTCAACCTTATCAGAGTTAAAAACGAACGCTGTGACAGACTCCTCGCATCGATACAAAGCAAAATTACACGGCAATGGATCACTTATTGTATTCGACTTCGGTATTGAAGTCGGCGGCATCGTCCATCTAGACTATACCTCCACCGGCAGCGGAGCTCTGGGGCTAGCATTTACAGAAGCCAAAAATTGGATTGGAGAGTGGTCGGACTCATCAAACGCTCTCTATCATGATGGCGCGCTGTATGCGAATATATCGTCAACTGGGAAGGGTACATATATCATGCCGGACAAATACCTGCGGGGCGGATTTCGATACTTGACCGTCTTCTTGGTCACAGACGATTCAGGCAGTGTTCAAATTGACGATTTGAGCTTAGAAGTTGCGTTTAAGCCCACTTGGTCGAATCTCCGAGCTTATCAGGGGTACTTTCACTGCAATGATGAGCTTTTGAACCGCATCTGGTATAGCGGTGCATATACTCTGCAGACGAATGAGGTGCCTGTGAATACTGGTCGTGTTGCAAAGGGTATTACCTCTGGGTGGGCAAACAATGGGATTCTCGGGCCAGGAGACACGATTATGGTTGATGGTGCAAAGCGAGATCGTGCGGTTTGGCCTGGTGATATGGGTATTGCCGTGCCTTCCGCTTTTGTGAGTCTGGGAGACTTGGAAAGTGTAAAAAACGCTTTGCAGATCATGTACAACACCCAAGTGAGTTTTGCTTGTTGTCTTTTTAGCATAGAACTAACAGTTCTGGAAATTATAGAACAAGACAACAGGCGCATTTGATGAGTCTGGGCCTCCATTGAGCCAGAAGGACTCGGACATATCATATGTGGTCTATGATTGGCACCTATAATTATGTGCTGTACACCAATGACACAGACTTCTTGTTGGAGAATTGGGCCAGTTATCTGCACGCCATGGAATATATTTATGGAAAGGTGACTTATCCCAGCGGGCTGCTGAATGTGACAGGCACGCGAGACTGGGCGAGATGGCAGCAAGGTTATAACAACTCGGAAGCACAGATGATGTACGTTGTGAATCCATTATGCAGAAGGCTTTACAGCTAACACTCTCTAGTCTCTATCATACGCTACAAACAGGAGCATCTCTCTCTTTGTGGGCTGGAGACTCAGCCAATATCTCAAGCACATGGAGCTCCCAGGCCGCCAATCTCAAAAAAGCAATCAACACCTACTGCTGGGACGAGTCGTACGGTGCATTCAAGGACAACGCAACCGAGACCTCTCTACATCCACAAGATGCTAACAGCATGGCAATTATTTTCGGTGTTGTTAACGAAGAGCGCACAGCCAGCATTTCAGAAAAGCTTCTCAAGAACTGGACCCCCATCGGGGCCGTAGCTCCTGAGTTGCTAGAGAACATTGCCTCATTCATATCATCTTTCGAGATACAAAGTCACTTCATTGCTCGCGAGCCTGCACGTGCACTGGATCTCATTCGTCGTAGCTGGGGTTGGTATATCAACAACCCGAATGGTACAGAGAGCACTGTGATTGAGGGCTATCTAAGGAACGGAACTTTCGGGTATCGGATGGACCGCGGATATGGCTATGATCCATCATATGTCTCACATGCACACGGCTGGTCATCTGGTCCAACGTCTGCGTTGACAGAGTTTGTTGTTGGTCTCTCTGTGGTCTCGCCACTAGGATTGACGTGGAAAATCGCGCCGCAATTTGGAGATCTAGGATTTGCCGAGGCGGGCTTTGTCACCTCCCTCGGGAAATTTAAGGCGTCTTGGGCTTTGAATTCTAGTGGATATGTGTTGACTTTCTCGGTGCCGAAGGGTACTGTTGGGAATGTCATTTTGCCCTATGTCACTGCGTCGAAGAAGCCTTCGATCACCATTGATGGTAATCAGCTGATAAGAGGAGTTGCCTATGTTGATGGTACAGCAATCTTCGAAGTGACCGGTGGCTCTCACAAGGTTATTGTCAAGTAAAAACCAACATTCACCAGATAGTGCAGCAGAGACTGATTATTTAACCGCCATCAAGATGTACCAGCTTTCGCGTGAGATGAGTATAGCTCTATCATTATAAGTTAAAAAACCCCGAATCTCAAAATCATCTGTTGATACATGACGGTATACTAATGTAGATCATGCCATATCACGTGCATCCCCACACTCCATCTCCGTCACCCGCCAATCCTGCCCTCGCCATTCCTCATCGAACGAACCAAGCTCAAAATGGCCTCCACCCTCCGTCAGAACCCATGGCGGGCTTACCAATGCCTCACTCGGCAACAAATCCGCACAACACGCCTCTGCTCTCGCCATCTCTCCACCACTCCCCTCCGCTCCAATGCCACCAATAACCTCCTCCGCTCCCGAGCATCCGCAGCGGCGGATCTCCAGCATGCCTCCCAAGCTCAGCGAAAGATGATCCTCTCCGCAGCCGGCATGATCGTCTGTGCAGTCGGTCTCTACGGTGTCATCAAGCTAGACCTCTTCGGCCTTAACGAACTAGATACTACCAAAGATGACAAGACCATCTCCACACCTCCGAAGAATGGCGCAATGCGCATGGACGGACCAGTCGGCTTCACCGGCGGCGGCCCATCATTAATAACGATCCAAGGCCAAGACAGGCTCGAGCAAGTGCCAACAGGAACAAGCACCATCCCTCACTTCCCAAGCACAATCCGACTCCCCACACCCGAAGCAACAGAAGGCAAGCAAGAAGGCGACGATCTAGCGCCGTCCCAAGGCGAAGAATACCAACTACTTGGCCTTGGTGTCCGCACCGTCTCCTTCCTCTCAATCGAAGTCTACGTGGTCGGCCTGTACGTCGCGAAGTCCGACATAACCGAGCTGCAACGCCGCCTCCTGCACACAGCAATCCACCCGCTCAGTACCGATTCCGACGCCGCCATTTCCGGCGTCGGTACTACCGCCGCTACCTCCCTCGTCTCGCCAGAGCGCCAGCAGCTCAAGGAGCTTCTCCTTGACGCGGACCGCGGCGACGCCGCCTGGTCTGCTATCATCAAGGATAACGGCATCCGCACTGCATTCCGCATCGTTCCCACTCGTAACACAGACTTCATGCATCTGCGCGATGGATGGGTGCGTGGTATCACTGCGCGCGCGAAGGCGAAGAAGACCGCGGGGCCGAGCGAGTTCCAGGATGAGAGCTTCGGAACCTCGATGAATGATTTCAAGGCTGTTTTCGGTGCGGGGAAGGGCAAGTCGGTGCCGAAGGGACAGACGCTGGTTTTGATGCGCGATGCGCATGGCGCTTTGGACGCGCTCTTCCAGCCTGGGACTGATAAGCCGGTTAAGTGGATGGGGCGTGTCGCTGATGAGCGGATTAGTCGGCTTGTTTGGTTGAATTATTTGGCTGGCAAGACTGTTTCAAGTGAAGGGGCCCGGACGAGTATTGTCGACGGGTTGATGTCGATTGTTGAGAGGCCACTTGGAACCGTCGTGCAGAAGGTTATCTGATTTATTCTTGGGCTATGGCTTTGATTTTGTTTGTTTGTATCAACATACCTGTACGAGTTAGTCGCTGTTCACTTTTCTCCCATGTCGGACTACAAGACATTCCAGAGCAATGCTCCACTCGATACGCATCTAACGCTGAAAGATGACAGGGCTCTTTGATCCCTCCAGTCCCACGGCATGAAAATATCTCCCCACATTACATAGATCTACAAGACCTAGGAAAGGAAGTCTATGAAACGACTGGATTGGTAGATATAAAATAAAGGCTGTAGAGTTACGAAATATACCTCAGACTATATTCAGACTCAGGCCTCGGGAGATTCTTGTTTATATGACATCACCGCTTAGATCGCACCAGCGGCCTTAAGGAGCTCCTTCAGGTCCTTCTTACCCTGGAGGTCGGAGTTGCCGCCGATGTGCTTCTTGTTGATGAAGATGTTGGGCACGGTGCGCTGGTTTGAGATCTCGGCAAGAGCGCTCTGGATAGCAGCTCCTTCCTCTGTAATAGATTCATATTAGCGATTCATTCAAAAGACAAACACGTATCAAAAATATAGCTAGCTCGGTGCTAAAACTCCTCTTCTCGCACGCGAGCAAAAGCAAAAGACCTACCATCCTGATCCAGCTCGAGGGTAGTGTACTTGGCGTTCAAGCTGTCGAGCAACTTCTTGGAAGAGTCGCAGTAAGGGCAGTATGACTTGGAGAAAACAACGACAGCGTTGTCGTTAATGAGGGACTGAGCGCGAGTCTTTGCGGCGGACATGGCGGCGGGATTTGGGCCGGCGAAGGAGCCGAAAAGACGGGTGAAGATGGACGAAATGGTGGGCGGTTTGTGAGGAAAGAGAGGAGGCGGTGGTGTCTCTCTTTATAGGAGATTTGGCGGGGTACAAGTACAAGCAAAAAGATGAGAGGATTGGTTGGTTATTCCGTCAAGATTGCGGGATTGGATGCGGCAATGATGTCATGTGATATTTGTCAGCCGGGAAGCTTTTTCTTGTTTGGGTAAAGTTTAGATAGCTAAGGTACATAGTTCGTAGATGTCTATAAAGTACAATTTGATATTTATTGGGCTAGCCGGCTAGTTGGCACGGTATCTACACGCTTACGAGTACAAGTCAAGTAGCAATTGTGTGCAGGTATGTGTTCATTCATTTAACCTGATATCTGATTAACTCCGTAGTTATCTGGCATTCAAAAGGCAAACAAATCCGCCTGGCCAGACCAAAAAAAGAGGAGAAAATCGCTAGTAAGAAGGCTTGGGAATATGGGAAAACAGGCTTCAAAGGTGTTTCGGAGAGAAATCCAAGGATTGGAGAAGGGTAAGGAAATCATAGGGTCAAGAAAGTCACAGGCAGGTAATAGGATGAGAAGGAAGAGGCGCACATCACAACTTATGTTTATTGTGAAGTGTATGTCTCTCATCCCCGTCCCATCCATCGCAATCTGGAGCGAGCTTTTTGAGGTCCCTCTTACCACTTCGGTAGGAATCACAATGATCACAGGAGATGAGAAGGGAAATATCAAGGAATGAATGCATGGGAGAAGAAAAACAAGAATATCCATGCTCTGGTGTTGAATTAAAAAGCAGTCTGGAGAAATTTGAACTCAAGGCGAAGAAATGCCCTAGATCGCCGGATATAAAATCACAGAACAGAACCGACAGAACACCATCCCGCCGGAGACGCTAGAAATAATAAAAAAATGACAGAGAAGGGAATCAAGCAGATGTGCAAATATCAAAAGTATGTTGGGGAAATAGACGAGAGATTGGACAGATGGTTGTAGAGTGAGAGTCCATCACATCACAATGCAGCACCCGCAGCTCTTCTCTTTCTTCGGTAGCTGTTGCGCGGTGACAACTGGAGGGCTCCAGTTAGGGTTGGGGTTGGGTGCTAATCCCATTGGGGGTGTTTCCTGCACCTTGGGCATGGTGCTGTAGCCGGTGCTTGTATTCGGGCGGGGCGGTTCTGGGCTCTTTGATGGCCGAGGCGACAAATCCTCGAGCTGTAGAGACTCAACTGGTTGCGGTTGCGGTTGTGGTTGCGATTCTGGCTCAGCCTTGGTGGCTACAGGAGGCGGCGTATCGAATGGGTGCACTGCGAGGGGCGCGAAGTGGCGGTCGTATGTGTTCGGTGTCCGGCCTTCCTTCTCCCAGCGTTCCTGCATCATCTTCTTGGCGACGGTCGGGATCATCTGTTGGTCTGGTGGAAGGCGAGGATCGGGCTTATACATGGTTGCCAACCAAGGCGGGTCTCCTTCGGGTCGGTTAGCGGTTGTTGGAAGACGACTTTCACCTGACCGGGTGGTAGGGCGCTGTGTGTTGTTACCGGAGACAGCGCGAGATCGAGGAGTGCTCGTCTTCCTGTTCGCAGGTGGAGCAGAGGTCTTTCGGTTCGTAGAGCTCTTGACTGTCTTCTTGCCCGTATTTTGTGTACTGCTGAATCCACGACTGCCTGGTCGACTTTGTGGAGAAGGAGTCGAACCATCTTGCTCGATGGTGATAGGCTCGCTGGCTCTACGGTTCCGTGAAGACCGGTCTTCTTCATCTGTTGCGGCACGGCTCCGTGAACTGCCAGAATCGCGGCCGAGTATGGGAACTGGACTAGCCGTAGAGATGGGTATTCGGGAAGCGCTTTTTCCAAGGCCAGGGTGGCTGTAGAGGCTGGCGGCTGCATCGTCCGCAGCAATCTCCTCTGGTCGGCGGAGATCCCAATGTTCCCGCACACTGCCACCTACATTGTTGTTCACACCCCGCTTGCTGGGTTCTTCTTTCACTTTCGGCCAGGGTTCGGAATATTCTGCAGCGGGCGAGGTCGCTGTACCAGTCCCGTTAGCAGGACTCTGGTGTGAATCATAGCTCCTTCCACGTCCCACACTCGATTTGCTCTCTCCTCTCATCCGTCGCTGGAAGAGAATGGCTGCTTGGTGGAGCTCTTCACTCTCGATCTTTGCCAGCTTGTCTCGGTGGATCCATTTTTCCTGGTTCGTCTTTCCGTCTAGGCTCAGTTGAAGATCATCATCGGCCTCTTCGGGCTCTTTACGACCGGCTGCCTCGGCACCAAAAGCATCTCGCATACTGCCTACTTCACTCCCATGTCGATTTAGACTAGGTTCCCTCCGTCCTCGGTTCGAGGCTAGATAGGGTGATTCATGTGCGTGGACGTTGCGCGAGACCGAGGAGCTGCGTGAGCCGTTCGAGGTACGCTGTCGAGAGAATTTTGCGCCGATTGAATTCGAGTCGTGCGACTCGCGTTGTTTCGATGAGTGGTGGTTATCCTGCGGGGGAAAAGGGGATCAGCGCTTTTTTTTTCTTTCCCGCGTTCTCGGGCTACCAGGTCAGAGACTGGAATGCCACCCCGAATAATCTTACCTCGTGCACAAGTGGTACCGCAAAATCCCATAGCGAGCCATCCACGGGCGATGCTAAGGCATCTGCGGAATATGCCGCTGTAGCGACACCCGCCATTCCAGAGGTTATTGTTCACAAATGAAAAAGG